TTTTTTGGGGGTAAACAAGTCGCGAATCGTTCCGATTAAAACTATTACGACGGCTCACTAAATTAATTTTCGGTCTGCGGTTAGCTAGAGAAGGCCTACTGTGTGTCGGACCGACCGAAAGAATGCGTGCCTACTCTACTCTCTATACCTGGCGGACTATCGGGCACAATCAGGTTCCTTGACCCAAATCCCTGACTCGAAGGACGGGGGTAGTTAGTTCAAAGGTTATGTCGTGCGTGTACCGCTCTCAGTCGCGTGCAGCCAGCAAAAGCTTCTGGTGGTCACGTCGTCTCACGGCGTCATGGGACTGCAGGGTCGCTTGCACAGCTTCAGCTATTTTTAGAATAGAGTTGTTGGTATGCCAATCATCGCATCCGTCTACTTTGCCCTGAAACGATGGCGTAAACGTCGAATTGTTATGATCGAATTTGCGATGGAGGGCCAGTGTGGGCCCTGTTTGAGGCCAAAATAACGGCGGCGCTATCTTTTGCTCTCCGATCCCCAGACCAAGCAGCCCCGATGGCGGGCCCTGGAACATAACTCACAATAAAAGCAAGGGCTGACAGTACGGATGTATCATAGCTACAAGATACAAAATCTTGATGTACCTTATCACGTTAACAGGAAGCTTCGTCTATCACCTATAGGAATTCGTCTCTGGTCCCCTCACTATGACAATGGACGCGACATATTTGCTGGACAATTGACTCGATTTAATAATAACATTATACTATTAGTCGCCTAATCACAGCTAATACCAGCTGCCCGGCTACCACCTGTGGCTCACGGAACTCGAGCCGACTCGGTGGGCGCGGAGACTAGGTCGCTGTCTGGCTGATTTTCTAATCGATTGGCGTGCTTCGACCCGTGTATATCCTATATAACCTATATCGATCCTGTATGACCGAAAATGGGACGCGTTAGTAAAAGCAACTAGCTTACTCTATTGGAAGGTGAGATTGTTCGACGCGGTAACGAGCACCTATCGAAGAACATCATAATCTTACGCCTTATATTATGGACTACAATTAAGTATTGTTAACAACAATCATCATAAGGACATGTGTCTCTGAAGTGGTGCAACCTAGCGCATAGGCTAACAATAGGTGTGGAGTTGTTTAAGGTACTACCGGGAGCAGTTCCTGCGATAGTACTTGTTAGCGCCATTTTCGCTGAGAGAGATGCTAGTAGCACAAAACATAATCATCAAACCCATTTTACCACGAACAGCATCGACAGCAAGAACATCGTAATGGATGGATAGTCACCATAACATACAACACACGCATCATCTGTAGCAGAGAAAATCTAGCAACAAATGGCGACTCGCTACATAGCTTCGTTACGCATGTTGGATCATTTATATATAATGTCAGTATTTGTAGGACAGAGCTGCTGAACGCCCGTCACCGGAGGACGCTCAAGGGATAGATAGGAACCCCGTAGGATGAGGTGATGGGAAATCGCGCCAATTTGTTGCGTTGTTCTTCTCTAGCGCCACACAGGTACAAAAACAGCTAATGTGTCCCAGTTGTGTGGTTTAGGCTTCGCGTACGCCTGATACGCTTCCATAAAAACGATCTGACGTCCTCCTCAATATGATATTCCTCCTTAATATGTGATATTTTTACAGCTGACAATGTATTATTGCCCGCAACGTGCAGCGCCATTTTCTCGACTTCTGTTGCTAAAAAGAGAAGTGGACACTGGCTGAGTTACTTTGATCGCCCTACCATAGTAGCAGCGAATTAACTTCACTAGAACACCGTGTTTTACCATAATAATAATAATAATAACAACAACAACTGCAATGTCAGAGCGAAACAGCATGAAGATGTCGCTGGCCAGAAGTCATTTAGTCCTCACGGGTGCTCTGTCTTGACTCGTGAAAAAGAACAAACGAGCGCCTTGGACGAACGGAGCAGTGCTCGTTGGTATGGTCTCAGAAAATTCCCAGTTTCCAGCTGAGTTTAGTGCCAAGCCGTTCAGCAGCGACAGTGACAGCACGATCAGTCCGACGTCGTGGCAGACCTATAGCGCGTGATGGGTGCTAGGGTATCTTCGGTTTTACATGTACACAAATTAACGATTGTCTCGACAAGCCAAAGACGTTTCGCCAGTCTATTTGGCGTACCATATTTCGTAACGTATTTATACGCATATATCGTAAGGGAAAGGAAGGCAGTCGTCGTAGTTGATTGCTTGCACAGAGAAACGAATGAACAGAAAATGCACCGAAACCGTTAGGTTGTTTTTTGCCAAGGGCGCGCCTTTGCCTCGCGTACCCAGATGCGTTATTAATTGCACTTCAATTAATAGTAATTGCATTATTAACTATTTCTATTTTTCAGTAATGTAGGCTCTATGATGGATTTCGACGAGCAGCTGTTGTGCATCGTCTCACGGGTGGTGTGTTCCCTTCTATTTTTGGGCGGCTAGTTTTTCATTGATTGTTGGCGACGGACTGCCCATAGCATGAGAACCGGTCATAAGGGCATGGGAATATGCATTGGCGATAGGCGAGTGTGCACAGCAAATAAGTGTCAAACGTTATTTCAACACATTGTCTAAACATCGCATGACGGAAAAGCGCCTTCGAAGCGCCAAAGTGTACTATTGTGAATCTACTTATGATTCTAATGCCGCTGATGGGTAGCGTCGGCGGTATGTCCTCTCGATTCGTGTCTGACCGAAGGTAGCTCTCAGTACAGCGACTACGTGTTTGTCGGCTCTTCGATTTGAGGTAAACGGTCACTGGGTCATCGTTCTTGAAGCAAACGACTTGAACCTTGTCGAAAGGAGAGTGAATTCGCAGGTCGCTCCTTCCCGTAGGTCTATGACAGAGTTGTTTGATATTATCGTTTTTAATATTGCTATGGCCTCTAGCATTCTCATTCGCTAGCATTACAAAAAAGTCTGGCATAATGTATCACAACTTTGACCAGCAGATTAATTACTGGCTTGCTCAGCCATAGTGAAGTCTCTCTGTCAGCAGTATTACTTCCAATAGATTTCTCTATCGTCAGTAGAAGATTAATCGTTAGTATTGCGGTTCGTCGAGCGATACGGGGGTCACCGAGCGTCAACTCGGCTTCGAAAATAGATTTCGTGCTATATTGTTGCAAACATCCTAATAATCACCAAAGACTAAAGTAACTAACGTTTCATCTCATGTAAATCATACCTGTTTAATTGAATAAACGGCCTTTCTGGCAATCAAACTTCTAATAATGAGCCTGCCGTTTCGCTCTTGCTTCGAACGGCTAACGGCACGCTGGTCCGAGAAAAGGACTAGCCTAAATCTCGATTATTATGTTTCATAACTTTGTCTGCCTAATAGCGGGAAGATTAAACGAGTACGTATGCATAAAACTAGAGTGCAGCGAAAGTTATTGGTTCGCGGAATTTCTATGTTAACTGGACTTACCCAGGAAGCTCTGAGCGTACTACGATTTCATCTCGATTGCTCTCGTAGGATTAATTATTAGTTATTAGGATAATTTTGCTAAGGAATACTCAGCGTTCGATAGAATGATCAGATCTAATCACTGGGTTCTTACCGGATTCCTATAAGCCCAATAACTAGCAGACAGCCCCATTGTCGAATATGTTCAACCGAATTAAGATGGTAAGTATCTTTTGCAATTTGGTGGGAAGCATAGGAACCACGCTTGTTCCCACTAGTCTACTGTAGGGGAGTGCGGCAGAACGAAGAAACGAGCCAATCCTGAACAACCCCTCCCAGTTACCTGTTAGCAAAGGAAAAATCTGTTCCACAACCTGAGTTGAAGCCCATCAGAGGCGACGAAATCATGATCTAACTAAGCATACATATATTCTTACGTGTGTGTACAGACTTGCATCATATTCTTGAAAAAGTTGACGCCACCCAAATTGATCTTTGTGTTATACACAGTATTCTAATTGACAAAGAATTACTAGATGAGACACTGCTTAAAGATGGCTGATCTTATTCCTAACAGATGCAACTTTAGCGACCGCTTGAGTCATTAAACATAAAGCGCAACAGAGACTACTAGATCCGCTTAATCGTCAGATTCGATCGAGGTGCGAGGAGCGCTGCGGCCCTTATATTTGTCACCATAGCGCGCATACCGACTCCTTCGTAGTCCTTAATCCGACTGCAACGCTCCATATTGTTCATGTGCGGGGCGCCTTTGCTCTGATTGGCAGGCAAGATAAATCAAGCGACAATATATAGATGCTGCTGGTGCAAAAAGGGTGCTAAAAATGTCCTTTCCACCGCTGCAGTCAATACAATCATCTGCTGATAATGTTAGTAGCAATCCTTGGTGGACGCCGCGAAGACCTGTACACGAACGGACGTGAAGATGAATACGAATGATGGCAACATGTGCTATGCTGTGACATGCAGTTCGGGGATTTTTTCTTTTCGTTAGAACTAGAAGTTCATCATAGTGTATCTCCCGCTGTGTGATAATGTAGTGTGCTTTAGGGCTCGTCTATGGTGACATCCGGAAATACCCGACCCGCAGGATGGCATGACGTGAGTCATCGGGGAGATTCGCGTACAGCGTTCTGGAGGGCAAATTTAGACAGGGAGAAGCCACAGATTTCGTGTAAAAGTACAAATTTGTTTTTTTAGCTATCTTGTTTATTCATGTTGATACGTTTATGATAATAAAACGAAATTCTTGTTGATGCTCAGTCCCAGCGACCCGAACTGAATTTGCCGTTTTATGATGTTTTTTGCGCAAGCATCGAGCTCGTGGGCCCCAATGCCCCTGAGTTAAGAACAGCGCTCGTTGATCCTGTTTGATACTCCTGTGTTTTTCTTTATTATTGTTACTTTCTTTCTAAGATCATTTGCAGCCAAACGCTTCATTCAGCGTATTGCAGGCTGAGGAAGTGGCTACCCAAAAATGTTAGAGAAGCTGAAGTACCCACCGATTAGAATAGTGCAAATAGTTCTAAATAGGTTATCGTTATTTCTATCTTTTTTAACTACTGATTTTCAGGGCTATCAGGCGTCAATGCAGAAGAAAATGGGTTTACGCACAATGTGCAGCTCCGTGTGCCGGAAGCTGCCCGCCTCGGGTTCGTATCGGCTAAGTTAAGACTCCGTAAGATTCCTGCACAATGTGCCGTGAGGGTTTACAAGATTGAGGACGGGCTAAGATCGCTCGTTGCTGATCTCCAAATGATGACTGGTAAGTACAGTTTGACATTGTGTTAAACATACGGATAGTATTAACGAGTAATAGTAAATAACAAGTCGTCGTATTTAATGTATCGCTACGAAGACATTAGATTATAACAAGCTGTACGGCCTGATACCAGCAAGCCTTTTGCTTCCATAGAAGGCTTCAATACGTGCAAGTTTTGGCTATCGGTCATCGAAATCAACTAATGTGTTTCCCCTTGTGTATCTTTTGCCTGCACTCCTTAGCAGGTTCGTCATTGCGAAACCGCGGGGCCCAAGCTCGCCGTGTTGTGGATCTCACATCATCGGTGAAGAGCTGGTTGCGGATAAACAATGTGATTCAACTACAGCTGTGGGGTAGTCGACGGGGCTGTCTTCGTCAGTTGCCAACGTTCGATGTCATGGCGACTGATCTGTCGTCTCGAGGTCGTTCAAAGCGATCAGCGGACAGCATAGGCAATCCAACAGGTCCATATCAGGACAAGCTTGGATCATCAAAGCGGATGTGCAAGGGCGACAAGGATAAAGTCTGCTGTCTGCGTCTTTTGAACGTCACTATTGCCGACCTTGGTTGGGAAGACTGGATCGTTGAGCCGAAACACTTTCAAGCCTACTTTTGTCGAGGCCAGTGTTTTTTCAGACATGGTCGTTTCGCGAGCTCGCACGCTGCGCTGCAAAGTAAAATGAGCCGACTTCTCGGCCCGAAAACAGTACCGCGGCCATGCTGCGCGCCTAAGAAGTTCAAGCCACTGCCGGTTATGTATCGTGACCGACAGGGAAATACGCATTTTGGCAGAATACCCAAAATGATTGTGAAGGAGTGTGCTTGTCATTAGATGCAATACGGTGACAATAAAAGAGAGACAGAAAATACAAAGCCGGTCAACTGGAAGCTAGTATCCGATCTAGATTCGTGAATAAACAACGTGGCAGAGGAAAGGCTGAGGGCTATATCTCACCCTTTGCTGCTTCTGCCCCTCGGAATTGTGTCTATCTCAGACCCACGTTGGATAAGGGTCAATGCTTAGCTGTCGAATAATCGTAAAAAATAGTCCGTTAAACGTGAGCTCGATACTGGTATAACGTAGTCCGTCACACACTGCCAACGAACAAAAATCGTGTTACCGACTTCGATAAAACAAATAATACCAGGCACCGTAGGAGAACTTTCTCCTGTCCGCACGCTAACGATTTTGCTCAATAAGCGTGAAAACTGTCGCCAAGGCTTCTGCAATTATATGTATTACCCTCAAATATATATAGACGCAAATATACACCCATATAAATAGTTCAAAGCGTTAAGGAAAATGTCCGAAACATGGTGAACAGCGACTAACAGGTATTCAACGCTCTTTGTGTATTGGACATACGGCACGCTCAAAGACTGGATTAATCAAACCTCTGAAAAAATTACATAATAGCATACGGCAAGCGATAAAGATATTCTCCCGGTGGCGTCTGGAAGGACAGGTCCTGTTACTATTATTCCCATCGTTACTAGCCAGTACTGTATAGAATATATATTCTATAAGTGTAATCTATAGAAAACCAAACTTAGGCTAAATTAAATGAACTTAATTATTATCTGTTAATATAATTATAGCTATTGTCGTTACTCGTACGTTCATTATTACTGCGGTACCCACTACTCTGATGTTATTATTATGGACTATTATAGATTATTACCACTATATCTAGTGCTACCATAGGCAATTGTAGTCTATCGAAGAGAATATTGTTAAATCCCTCAATTGTGTGATAGTACTATTAATGAGAGTATATCTTACGTATACACACTAAAGCTAAACATTGACACGTTTGAAATTTTCCGCTTTTTCGCGTATTTTCATACGAACATCTTGTAAACTCGTTTTCCCCTCCATATTCTCTACTCAGCCTGTCTGCTTGTTCTCAGTAAGGCTTAATATGTCCATATTTATGTAATAGTAAATGTTTATTTCAGGCTGGACAGTCGATCTGTAGTTGTCGCTTTGTGAGAAGAATGAATACAAACTCTATTTATAATCATCGTGTGTAGGCTTCCCCATTGCACCTGCGGGGCCGTAATACGTAATTGTTCCCCCGTTTGTATTATATATCCTTCTGCCGCCGCCGCCGCCGCCGCCGCCACCGCCACCGCCACCGCCGCCGCCGCCGCCCACACTCAACCATCGTAAATTGCTCCCAATGCAGGAACGCTAAAAAATTGCCTAGTAATCGAACAGACACGATAATTATAATGGTAACCTGATCATAATATTATTATGTTCAATATATAGGCGACTTTGTCTTTCCAAAGTCAGGAAAGAGTTTCGTAGGCTCTAAGAGCCTATAACAATTACGACGATGAATCGAGTAAACGACGTCTGCTGTCGCTTACTTTGGACAACCACTAACTACCAATACTAATTTTTATGTAAGATTTCGAGTCAACGCTATTGTCTTTTGTGGCAATCGTTGTTTGATGCTTATGCATAGATTTGTCCACTGATGATAATAATCCTCTATGTCTCCTCTGGCCTCTTACCGCGACACGCAGCTGATGGCGATCAGAAGGTCCGAGGTTAGTTCAGGGACATCGAGCTAATAAAAGATGCATTTTTGAAGGAACATTGTTCTAGGATGGTGATTGCACTTAGGCTTGGAGAAACAGATCCGTATGTGAAACTTCTACTAAAAATTCGATGAAAACTAAATGTAGCCTTCGAGGTGTATGCATTTTATCGCTCTTATGCGTGATGTGTCGAAAACTGTTATTTCTCTAGGCTGGTTTCGCTAGATTTTCCAACGTAACCTCGTTTTCCTGTCCTTCTCCATGCCTTCGGAGTGCTCTAGCACCATTACGCTTGTACACACCCTAATCCCTTGGTACAGAAACGCAGCCTTAAAAGTCAGGCCTAGCGGGAAAATTGTAAGCACAGCCTCCCGACCGTCATGTGGGTGCATATCTGCATCATTAAAATTACCATTTGTGTTTAGCGCTGTTGCACGAGAGCTTGAGTAGGCGAGAGCTTGAGACGGCGGAAGGCTACGAAAGGGAAGGAAGCACATCTCATCATCGGTCACTGTGTCATGGTTTTTTGGTAGAAACAGTTCGTACCATAAAGGAAACTCGAAAGACGTAGATGACATTATTAAAAAGAAAACCTAATAATAACAATAAGAACATTGTACGAGATCGTAGCCTTCGGTTAATGTTCCTCGTTTCTCACTGTGATACGCCAACTGGAATGACTGCATCTATATATATATATATATATATATATAAGAGGGAGAGCAAACAGATAAGATACTGCTAACAATAGTATGAAAATATGGGCAGACAATATTGCGAGTGTACACGTAGTAAATAGGATATATACATATACATATGTGTATATATATCATGGAGCAATTAGTGAGTGAGCAGGTGCGTTGTCAGGCCAGCAGCCAACGGGTGCCAAGTAGTGAGCACTACGAAAAAGCTGTATAGGATAAAGGGTTCGAAATAAAAAATATGATATGAATATTTACGATAAATAATCTGTACGTAGCTAAATAGATATATGTAGCAGAAAATAAATTATATATATAAATATATATATCCTATAGAAATACATTATGTAGCTGTAATCCTAGGTTAAAATCAGAAGGAAAGGGAGGAGAGGTTCAAAGTTAAATTAACCTTTCCTATTAGATGTCCTGCCCGTTAAATTATGTACATATCGTATTCTGTTCTCAGAGCCAATTAGCATTACATGGGCTCCCTACCTCATGACAAGCCAAATGACCAATATTTCACACAACAACAATATAATCATGCACGCCCCACAATCTATCTCGGCACAAGTTGGAACTCGTTCACACATGATTGATGATGGCACGTAAAAAAAACGCCAGCAGAAGCAGAAGCAGCATCTAGGCACGTTAAAGTAGAATGGATGCTCTCAGCATCAACGAAAGGTACTGCTGATAAGATATCTATCTTGTATAGTAATGTCTTTGCAAAAACGGATCATCAACCCAACAAAGACGATGGCCAGCTAACAAATGATAAGCAAACATTAATAACTCCGCCGTGCTTACTGCTACCGAAAACAGTTTAGCTGAAAAATATTGTATAGCAATGCGCAAAAAAAACAATGTTGTTGACACGTTTATCGTTATTATTATTTTGCTTTTTTTTCATGTTTTGTCAAATTGAAATGGAACAAGGTAAATATTGTTCAAATCTCCTTTTTTTTTTAACCAACATATCATGGACCAAACACACAGCTATAGACAGACAAAATCATACATACAGGCGCACATAAAAGGACGGGCAAAAAACTGAAGTATAACATATCGGTTAGGCTAAAAATATATAACACACACAATATATATATTTGTCCATGTACATAATGTATTCATAGACATCTAGATGTGAAATTACTATTTTTTTTTTAATTTATACACAAATTTTAACGTGAACATTTTTTTACTTGCTGTTCTGCTATGCCCGCTATACTTGCTAGAATTTGTGCGCGGATTTGATTGAGAACGGTCGTTCGAAGTGTTGCAGCCAACACCGGAAGAAACGACCTGATAGCTTTCTATCTACGAAATGAAGACAATAAGAGCATAACGCGATAAAAACGACGCTCATTATGATACTTTGCAAACACATGGAAGATCGCTTTAGATCATACGGCAGAAGAATGGGTTCGAAGTGGTGTAGCACGTATAGTTGTAGCAGGCAGTGACACGAAGCGAGAACGAGTGTTAACCTAGAATATAGAAAACTCCGCTTGTCAGCCCACGAAAAATAGCACTCGATAGATATATATATACAATGTGTACCAAAAATGTATACATTATTTTATATATATATATATATATATATATATTACTATAGTTTTTATTTACAATAATTTATATTTAAATTGCAAAAAAATCATAAAATGTAGAACTATTTCATCAAGAAATGCTCTTACATTACCAAATAATTAATTTATTAATAGATGAAATGCTTCAATTGAAATATAGTGTATACATTTTTTGGGACACTTTGTATATACATATATAAATGAAATACATAACAAAAGATTAAAATGCGACGTTACTGTGAGCCCCTTTAGGTTAGGCGCTGTAAATGATTTGAGAGCGCCGTTGGAATCTCACTTATTCATGTATTATAATAAAAATATTAAGAAAATGACTATTAATATGATTGAGTCTAACAGTAAAATGACGATGCGATATTTTTGTCAAAATAAAAACAACCTCCAGAAATTCCTGATATGATGTGTGTTCTGTTTTCGATATGACTGATACTCTGATACCCTTTAACATTATCGGACGGATGAGGCAAATCAATATAATAGTAACAATCACACCTTTTTCCTGTATAGACAGTGGGCTGTAATGTAGTAGAGTGCTGACAAAAACTCGGCTGACGACGCGGCCATGGCAGAGTAAGTAATACGGTAAACTTCAAAATGCGACACAATACCCGGCATCTGAGTAGAGGCAGTTTGGTTTCCACTAGGTGCTTAGCAATCTCCAAGGTTCCCAGCGTAGTATTTCTTAGTTTTACAAGTTTTTCGAGCCCGTTTTGCGTTCGATCGTTGTTTATTCAATGAAGGCTGACAAGTCTGAACAGATATAGAGTAGGCTGAGCTCAGCAATAGGGACGAATTTGGTATATTTTATATATAGTATATACTCAGTAGAAATAACTAACGCATATTATTTACCTGTTTGAATCTCACATAAAGTTCATAGATCTGTTCTCGAACTAGTTATAGCCCATACGTAGCCAGTATAGAACACGCGAATGGTTCTTGCCACACCGAACGCATTTCACCCCAGCGATTGTTGGGGGCCAAGCGGTTGATTCTTGATTATATACCATTGCTCGTACATGGCGTGTTATCCCATGAGTTTTGACTATGCCTGTAAACGTTCTTCACAGGACCTCAAGGACCTACTGAAATGTTCACCTTTCTCGCCTGCAAATGATGAAATATGCCCAACACTCGATAACAAATGTTAGGGCTCTAGTTAATGAAAATGTTAATACTATGCTCTGATACTTCAGATACGGTTGTTTTAAATACTAAAATAAAAAGTATTTAGTGATATTGACCTCTGAGGCCTCATCGAATCGCGAGCTTCCTTCATTGACCTGTTCTGCCTTCAAAAAATTATTATCAAGTTCGAATTTCCACAATGCCCATCTTATCTATGAAGGTGACAAGATCATCTATGAGAATGCTCAGCTCTGACGCTCAGACGACCAATCCAACATGGGGTACAACGCAAACAATAATGTACACTGGGTCACGGACAATTCCCTGTTTTTTATATTCATTTAGCGCTACTACATAACTTCAATGTTGTGGCGTGGTTGTTTTACGTTTCACCTATAGGCAAGAGCCTACAATTTTCCTAACAGCCATTTATGATTAACTAGCATCTAATTGGCATCACTGAACGATCAACATGCTCGTGTGTTCAGTTTTCAACCCTGATTCGGCGGCTTCGCGGTGGCAGTTTTGGCATCTACCGGAACTCGACGCAAAAATAAGTTGCGAGTTCAATTCCTGTGCTACAGTTGAATTAAAATGTCCACACTTCGGCCGTTTTCCTTATGGTAGAAATTCCGAATGTCAGATTTTTGCTCGACAGAAGCGTCACCTATTGGTCACTAGCGGCACGAAACGATCGTTTATGGGCTGTTTTCAACAAAATATGATGCAGAATATACTGCAATCAAGAAAAAAACTACTAGTAGTGAAGATTAGCATGTAAAGTCACAAAGCAGACCTGCTAGTTCACGTTGGGGTAGTAGATTTAATAGAAAACCAGAACCAAACCAAGACGTTTCATGTATAGCAAATTAAGCGTTAGCAATCTTCCTTGGCATCAGCCGTTCACGTGTGTTGAGAAATCATGTGGTGGCTTCTGAAAGCATTTAGCGATGCATACTCGATTATATATTATCTCAGGAACTAGGTTATGGATCGTGCCTACGATTTCCAAGATTGGAATACGTCACTCTAAATGGGTGTCATAATTCTTATCAGAAAGTATATATTTCATGCTTGTTTCTTTCTCAAATGTTCGGCAGTATGACCATTGTACCCGTTTGCCAACGAGCGTGCTTTTTATAAGTCTATTAAGTCAACAGAGTCGTTTACCTATGTCGCTATCTATTACAAAATGGGAAATCTCACCATCTACCTAATGATCACATGCGACTTCCAACCGCGTGGCCTCCGTGGCGCAATCGGCTAGCGCGTTCGGCTGTTAACCGAAAGGTTGGTGGTTCGAGCCCACCCGGGGGCGAAATGTTTTTGGTCAAAAATTAGTTTCCAACTCATGGCGTACTTTTGGGCAACTATGATCCATTTCACTTTATTTGTTAAGCATTGAAAAATAGACATGAAAAGCTCAATTAGAAAAATCTGTTACACCCTGCTAGGTGTAACTAAGAGGTGTCCGTCCTAGAAAAATATTGTCGGTCTATCGAAACCTGCGATATATATATATATATACAGCTTATCGTCGTACAGAGGGGGAAAGAGCCTCAAGTGGATTTTACTTATTCTCGCTATAGTTCTGCGTGTTTACCGATCCCTAGATCTAAATACGCACAATAAGCACAAAGCAAAATCAGAAAACATAATGGTTTCCAAACAAATCCAATGATGACGCGAAGTTTCCAAACGACCAACAGCAGCTAGATAGCTCTAACTCTTACTTCATCAAATAGGAGTTGTTATCGGTGCAGCTGAGAACAGTGATCAAATACGTGTGCTGCTTATGCTGACTATGACGTATGCTGAATAACAGGTTGTCCAAAGATAAATGCCCTATCGGCTCCCAGCTCAAAAACTGGAAGTCTGGCCCTATTCTAAACTAATCGTGACGAAGCTAGCTACCCCATGAGTAGAATGAATATGTCATCAACGGGGACTGCTGTCCGATCGAAAGTTTTCACTAGTAATAGGCTTCCGCCTTCGTGGGGCGCAAGTGAGGTCGAAGCATTTAAAACTTGTTGCTGTTATTGGACATAGAGCTTCATAGGCAACATGTGATCGTATGCGCTTCAGTATCTAAATAAAGTATAAATACTTCCGTTTACCTCTTTGAGATCCGGTACTTTCCCATCTTCCCGTAGCACAAGCCTAGCTACAAAGACTAACTGGACCGTATACTGGAAGCAAATTTAACTGTTGCTGCAGATAGTAAAATCCACGATAGCAGTGAAATTACATTATAGCGTTTATTTAACGGTGATATAGTCAATAGTCAATATATTTAAATATACAGTATAAAGTTGTTCTTCTGTCCACATTTTTCTTCTGGTTAAAAGCATTTCAAACAATCATAAGAAGGATTCTCTTCTCTCTTCCATATAACAGACGAAGATTGTATATCAATTAGTATCAACGACTCAAGGTTGACCTGAAATTGAGCTATTAGGCTATTTTTAGTCAACAAGAATGGAGAGTGTGCTCATTACGTGTCACAGCCGTGTAAATATTATAAAAACTGCAACATTAAAAATGACGGAAAACAGTGTTCTCTTAAATATAAAATTGAAAGCTCTTTAACTCTCTCTAAATGAATCATAGATTGACCAGGTCTGAGTTACGCCATCTGATAAACTTTACTGAATGTTATACTATTTTTGCTTTGTACGAGTTGAGGCAGTTATGCCCTTTGCAGGCTTACATGCACAAACAGCGTAGAGGGCACAATGTTCCTAAATAACAAGTTTCTTAGATGTACATGGCGATAGCCTTCTCGCATCGCTGTTAGCGGGATTGCGTATTCGCCGAGTCGTCCATTTTTGCCCACCCGCGAATCGGACATGACAACAAACACAAGTTGAGCCAGATCTGGAACATTCACCAGAAACTGGAACGTCTGATTCCAGATTGGATTGAAACCTACGAAGCAAGGTTACAAAAATTATTAGTTAGTTTTTCATACTAACGGACTTTTCTACAAGACTTTTGCCCGCAGATAACAATACGAATACGATCACGATGATACCTGATAGAGTATTTCAAAACTAAGGGATCCCACTGAATGAAGGCTGTTGAGCGGCAACCTTTACAATTTACTAGAAAGGAATTACAGCATATTCAAAGCAATATCTTCATTCTATACACGGTCGTAAATTGGCGCATGGCTGTTTTTGATTATCGACGCCGGCTGTCGAACTACGATTGCATAATTAATACCAGTGATCCTCTTTTTTCCTAAACGTTTCGGCTGGAAGCCATCTTTTTTTTTTTTTTTTTTTTATGTTAGAGATGTTAGAGACTAAAGTATCGTGTCTGTGACGAAAATTTCCTCACGCCTCACTGCGAACCTATGATGATATATGCCCACCGTTATTGCTGACGAAGGAGGTCCGACCACAGTTTTCGTCCAATGGATGTCCGATTATTTTGATTTCGACGTAAGGATCGGTCACCTCGCCTCTAGCAGGCATATATTGTCCACTGATAATCTAAAAGCACGACAGTGTGACATGATAGCGCCGGCATATAGTACGATAAAGATTCTTATGACAGCGGGTATAATTATGTATTTCAGGGTTGATTGTGTATACTTCATTGGGTTAGTCGCGTTTTTTCTCACATAAAATCATTATTCCTTGTTAGATACACAGATGCCACTTCTAGCGTTTCTTGACAGGCTCTAAATAATATGGGCTAGATGCTGTTACCAGTGCCGTTTAGAAAAGTAATCAGCCACTTGTAAACTCAAGCCAAGAGTGCACACTCGATGGCGGTACCGTTAGAGTCAGAAGGCGGCGCAAGTCTGGGTCCGGTTGGGCAAAAATAAACCCGTCACGAAGGATTCGTGGCTTAAGAACGTAACCACAGTTCCCATTTTGGGCGAACATGGATAAGTTGTAGAATTGGTTCTTGTCAGATGTCTGGTAGTTGAGGGCCACTGAGGTGAAAATGTCATAATTGAAAAAATCACATTGAAGTAAATCAATCATTTTTAAAAGTGATACAACGTTATTATATAAAAATATATTATTATATGTTATCTCACATAACCAATTTCATAAAAATTTCTCATATTGTTAAAGATAAAAATTGTTCGTTTTTATGTTTATATACTTTGTTGTATTATTATCTGACGAGTGTTCAACTAAGCAAAAACTAGTATAGAATGCTTAATTAAGAATGAACACATAATAATGTAAATTAAAACATTTTTTACGATAACACAACACGATAAGCGAAACAGGTAAACATTTCAAGTGCGTAAAACTAGACAAATATGCTAAAAAGAAACTAGGATTAGGCGAACGATACTAAGCTTTGAAAGAAAAAACGTAAAAACAGTTTCGTTTAAGTTAAACAATTCATTCAATTCAAAAGCTCGTTTCATGAGGTAAATGAAGTTAGTACTAGAACATCAAAAATGGCACTGCCTACAAGAATAGCGGTTGATCGTTCAACGGTACTTCATCCATAGTAACAAATATGCCTTAAGGACTACAGGGAGATATGCTTTAGCATATCTCCCTGTAGTGATTATCGATCTAGAAATAAATGGGAAAAAAGCGAATGGTTAATCAATCTGTATCTTAAAAGTAGAGTAAATTCAAGCCCGTACCCATCTGACAGCCAACATTGAATAGTGGGGTGGGGTCAAAGTTCGTCGAATGAACCCTGGTTGGTTTTGGATAGACTCTAGTTAGATGCGTCCGAGCGAAGTTCGCCAATGCCTGTGTAGTTTTAGCGTCTGCCAACATCTCTTCACAATGCGTTTCACTAAATGATGCCATTTGGTTGAAACGCCCTGTCGTATCAACAGAAGCAACGTTACATACTAGCTGCAAGGCGCGGGATTACATGACCCGTTGAAATGAACTCGGTTATATATGTATATGTATAATGAACTTGGTCGTCATCGCTTTGACATCAAATAGGGACCTTACCGAAAAATTAAACTTTGCTTAAATAGTTGGAAACTTTCAGCATCCGCACGAAAGTATAAAGTGCGGGCGTTCTCTAAACTTACAGTTTTCCGCATCTGAAAATGATTTCAGTTTTGTCGCGACACAATAATTCAGGACATCAGAGAGTTGGCGAGCTACGATCGTCTTGGGAGACGCCACAGGGCTGACTGAGCTACGCACTATTGGCGATGACACCGTAGATGCGCTCGAGCCTCGCCTGTACCTGGGCCAAGCACGAAGTGATAACGTTCTGGTATAGTTATAGGTCAATAAATATCTGTGGCACACGTATGACAACATTTTTGGCATTAACGTTTTTTAAATGATGGATGCTGTATTACGAACCCTCTTACCCCTTAAGTGTCGTTCGTGCAAATGAGGCATTTTCGTCATCTTCATTAAGTTTCTTTCGCGTTGATTTTGCGATCTGAAAGACACATTATGAAGCTGCCATATTCATTCGGACCACGACTTCAGCACCGTATAGAAGCTTCAGTTTTTTTTCAACCATTCTCAAAATGGCTATCGATGAGGATGAATGAGTTGTTTCGATCACAGGTTTTGCTCAGTATTTCTGTAATAAGCTATCTCTAGCTGTAGTGGATGCAGTACCTGTATGACGTCCCTGTAGACTTTCAGAGTCTTCGTTGATGAAGTATGAGTCAGATTGGGCCCTGAGTTATTATGATGAATACTTTCAGACGGTTGCTCATTCCTTCGCTTTGCCTATGGTTCACATAGAGTTCGCACAAAGACAAATTTCTAAAATATCAATGGTTAATACGTCTAACACGAACCGATACCCTTTACTTAAGCTATGCCCTTTGCTTACATCATAGGAATCATGTGTCATATATAGGTCTTCTTATGCGTCATATATAGTAATCTTTTGCATTTCGTCTTATCTAAACGCTACTGAAGATGTGTAACAGATAACGACAGAGTTTCTTAAAGGCAGAGCACCTTAAAGACATCTTTTTTACCTATACATCCTTATGTATAATGTTTTTGCTGTTAATTTTTTTGACTCGATCGTGACATCGAAACATGTCTGCTCCATTCTACTCTGAACCTGCGCTTTATCCTTATCCCCATATGTATGTAGTATATTTAATACATATTTTTATTTATTTACACATATGTATGTGTGAACAAAATTAACACCATTAAGGGAGTTCTTCAAAGACCGAACCAGAAAATGCAGGATCCGGGCGAGATCCGGGTTAATTTTAACTAGGTAGCTAAAGATGTATGTGGTCCGACATTCTTATGGTGGAAGACAACGCTCGCTAGTTGCGCTTTTCAATGGCTTGTTGTAGTCTTGTTAGTTGTTAAAGGTCCTGATGATGGTATAGTGGGTTGTGTGTTTGTCCACTGTGGTTGTCTGGGTCGGAATCTGAACGTGGACACACTTCGTTTCGTGCTGGGAACCAGCCGTCTGCTGGAACGCCTAATGACGGTACCAGACGCAACGTTGAAAATACTTAGCCTTAGTTGTTGATAATAGGGATCAGAATCAATTATCTTCATATGCATGAGTTTCGTTCGATCTTGTCAGACACATAGCTAGCCTAGTTTGGCGTCAGTCTGGAGATTACCTCAGATGGTAGACCACATTGTTTTGTACATTACTGTCGTGCGTGACCCGTCTTTTATCGGCAGCTTTACAAATGACTCTATTTCGTTGCTTTTCTATGAAGTTTCGCTGATTAAAATACCACCGGCAATGCGTTGATTCATGTGGGACCCAAACATCGAGCTTTTTTCATGGCCAATTCTCTCCTAGTAATTTAAAGACGATAGACGTGTAGTTCCTCAATTATATCATAGCTGTCCACGTATCGTAAGCATTTTGTACATCGAAATGTTCGGAATAGAACTGTATCTCTGGGCCGTTTCTTCTAATAACTTCATTTGGACTATAAATAACACATTTTTTATGAACTATAAAAAATACTGAGTTTTTATAAAAATTTCACTTATTTTCGCTATGGTTTTTTTTGACTTTCGACAAAGGCATTTTAACAAGCACATCTGCTACAGCCAAATATAAATTTTCCAATGGTATCAATGCAAATTCGACGCGACTCAATCTTTTTCTTAACATAGCATATACATATCGTCATAGTCGTGCTCGGTCGTCATCAGCTAGACGATAGTAGTTTATTTATTTTTTGTGAAGATCTTTCCCGATAGCTAATGATAGCGTATGAGGACAGGGCACCAAGGTGCTAGCAAACCAAGGACTGCAAAAGATTTTTTGTAAATGCAGAAAATGTTTTTTGTAGAACGCAAAGTCAAAAACGGACCGTTTATGCTTGATCATGCGGTGTTTCATGGTTATAGCAGTACATATCGATTCTCCGCTAGATTGTAACTTTACAAACAGGGACTACACAGCATCAGCAAACTTCTGCACAAATCACCCGAATACAGCACTCATGTACGATTTAAAACGTGCCCATATCCACGAGAAACTGTCTATCTTATACTCATAACTTCCGTTCGAATCGCATCGCAACAAAGGCATCGTGAAGATGGCAGGACAAAAACAACTAAAGAGATTTCTGCTGGTTGAAAATGCTTCAGTGTAGATAGGCCGTCTCAGAGATTTTGTATCAATCGAGCAAAAATTGTCCTTACCAATAGTAAAAAGAAAACGTTCACAAGGCCAGGCGCATTTTTTAGGTAAGGCTTTTTCTTAGCGCATTTATGCAGTTCACATTTACGTAACATTTACGAGTTCCCGCAGCGTTCAGCGTATACAGCAGTAGAAACCAGTCCTACGGTCATGAAGGTTGAGGGGGGTGGGGGGTAAACCCACTACAATGTGAAACGAAAAACTAAAACAATCATTATAGCTAGGTAGTTTTAAAATAAACCGTATCGAAGATGGTTGCTGAGATTGATATCATAAGCCAATTTTATTGTATGGTTGACTCTAGGCATCTGAGCAAAATCCTTTTTATAAAACTATCGAGAAGCTCGCCAGTTTGTTTACAGTCTTGGCGAGAAGGAAAGCAAATTGAAAGATGTCTCCTGGAAAAGAAAAAAATACTGCTAATATGGCAGCAATACCGAAAAGTTATGTCGGGGACGTGCGGTGACAGAAACACAAACCGCTGCTAGACGTTATTCCAACAACTTAGGCAGTCGGATGTTGTTGCAACCGGGCTGGTATACACAGAAAAGACCACCAGCGACGCAATTTACGCGACTAGCCTGAAGCGAGTCTGAGCAACGGGCAAGAATACATTTAAGAGAACGTGAGTGGTAGCGCAAAACAGATATCAAGGTTGCTTAAGCAGCCTGACGCTGGTCTGCTAACGTGGGGAGGCTGGTAAGATGTTGGACATATCTAGCTGTAGTTTCAATACTGTACACATTGGAGACCCTGAAAAATTTTCAACCTGAAGTCAATACTAATCGTGTGTATAACTAGAAGGCATCTAGAAGCATTGCTCACCTTAATTAGAATCTTGCCCTTGAGCTGTTCTGGGGATGGAAGTCTGGTCGTATCATCATCAACGAGATCGGTGCACAACCTTTCTAGAAGAAATAACGGCAAGAAACATATGCAAACACAAAAAGCATACGTGTGCACCACACACACAATGACCTAATATTCTATTCAGTCGTATGAAAGCTTTAGTCTTCTCATAATCTCTTCATTGATCACTGTAATTAGCTTTTGTACCTCGAAAGTTGACAACTATATACAGCACCTACGTCTAAATAAGAATCTATCTTACCTCCAAAGATATTGAAGAGATGCTTTGTCATGTTGGCCTCGTTCTCTGCATTGCAATGGTTTTCAATTGACAGGATAATCGGGCACCTGAAACGTTTACGTCAGTAGGAAGAAATTCTGAAATGATGTATCGCAGCGTCGCTTCTCTAGGTATTAAAAAATCACTTCTTTATATATGGGCAAATGCATATACGTACGAGCTTAATGGAATCTCACTAAATGTAAATTCCTCCCTTGGCTCTACTTGGCTCTGTGCCAGCGCAAATCTTCTTTTAATAGTACCATAGTCTGATAGGAGGGAGTGATGGATGCTTCTGATTCTATGGCTTAGTATCATCGTAGTTGGATTCCACTGAGCCAGGGGCGTGCCAGGTTTTTGGTGAAGGGTAGAGCTACTTTTTAGCTTTCTATATAGACCCAACCAGTTAGCTTCTTACTCTTCTTCACCATTAAGTATGGTCGAACGCTTTTTTCTAAGCCGATTCTTCTCGTTGAGGATACGCCTCGTTGTTTTGCTTCTATTTCTCCCTCAACCTAATTATGTAACTTGTGAAGTCCTTAATTCCTACTGCTTCTAGGTTTTTGAGTCGGTGTACTCCTCTCCTTCCGTGTTGTAAGCGGCGCACTGTGCTGAGGTGTGCACATCCATCACCTGGTGGACTGAGTCGCATTGGACATATGAGTCTGAAGGTGACTTGCCTATCTACCACAGATAGGATTGGAAGTCCCCGTGTCCTCTGGGAAACTAGGTAAAACTGTAGGTTAGTTCACCTCTTAATCATTCAATCCAGTCTTTGATCCTAAGAATGTCTTCTTTGACCTTAGCGCCTGGGGCTTTACGTGGTATAGTATGGCACTCCGTTTGCCACTGATTTACAATCCTTCCTCTCACCTCTCATTTTCTCTCATTTCTTCAGGTTTGGCCTCACCTCATGTAGCTCAACTTCCGCTCATGTTCCACTTTGCGTTCTTAGGGATTGAAACTGGCTGGGACTAAGATTGCTTCCGTGCTTGAAGTTTTGTGCGTCCGCAGTACCACAGCAGCTAGAGTCCGTTGAGCCTTATGAAGTTTGACAATTTGGCAAAAAAAATGGCAAAGTAGTCCGAATCGCCACTCGAAAAAGGGCAATGGACTCCCCTTTTGACATTAAAAGCATGTGTTTCCCGTCTTTAGTTCCATGAATACTAGGAATCAATTTTCTGACTTCAATCGACGCTTTTATTGTTGTAGCCGCCGATATGAAGGGTATTCCTTATAACCTGATCCAGGTAAATCTAGCGATCTGATTAATTCTACCGCTCTGACTTAGTCGAAGCGGATCTGAATCCAGTCTTTTCCGCCCACAAAGAGACCTTGAGCAGTGTCTCGTTTACCCTGTGGGGTATTTCGGCGCGGTTTTTCCGGTGAGACAGCTAGATATCGTTTTCCATAGCAGGCTGATGAACACATTCTTGAAATTTACTATTACTGTCGACAAAAGCATCACCTCCTGTACCTATAGAAATTTTGCGTGTATTTGATGTAACGCGTTTGTGATATGTGAATTGTGCTTCTTCTATTGTTTCGTGCCATCACTGCTTTAGTGTTATCTAATTCCTCCTGCTAGGACGCACAGTTTGCCACATTCTGACTTCCTTACCCTGAAACCCCATCTCTGAAAGCAGTGTAACAGCGCTACGCTACTATCAGTTTTTCATCTCTGCTCTGCACTCGATGTAATGGTTATCGCTAAGGTTCTCCAACTCGTCCAATATCACCCATTTCTCTAGCCTGATGCCTTGAGCTAACAAATCTCAAAATCTACAACGTCTTGAACCTTGCAAAAAGTGGGTAGCGCGCCAGAATTCATTGAGACTGTTTCGTGTATTGCTGTCTATGCAGCCCCCCCCCCCCCTTCCCCCGCCCTCTCCCTTTAATCGATTCCACGAGCCCTTCTTACCTCTTAAGCTGGATCGAAATCCACAAAAAATAAGACAGACTCCTCCTCTAGTTCTATGGATGACTCCGTTACCCTGCTGAGGATATCATAAAGCTCTTACGGCGATCCGTTTGAACTATTGTAACAGGAATAGAAGCGATCTACCACCTATAGCATATCCATGAGAAGCCTTTGTCGCTTCCTCTGGTAGAGACTCCGTTGCTTCTATATGCAATGAATCACCAGCACTAATCTCGTGGGAGTTACCACTGATCATTTTCTCATTTAGTTCAGCAAATGCTTCAAGCCCCTGTTGCATATATCCTTGAAAAGAATATGGACCTGCTTATTGCGATTGCAATTTACTCGTATAACCCTAAATATTTAAGACACCCGCTGTTCGTCTCGCCTGTTGCCGACTACCCTCCGGGGCAGCTTTTCCTTCGCTGTAGCTTCAATGTGTTCGGCGTCGTCATTTATTGTTGAAATTGATAAGTATTTTCAGCCTCATTGGGCCTATCGTTTTTATCACCTTAAGTGAGTCATTTTTATTGTTCTCTGGTCGCACAAAAGGGCTTACTTTTGCCTTTTTTGTGAGACTTGTCCTAATCTTTTCTCTGTACACCAAGCAGGCCGCCATATTTACAGCATAATCCGTACTGCAATTATATCAGATAGCTTCATCCTTGCACCCCTGAGCAATATGCACCGCACCCATGACACCTTACTTTTTGTATTTTTTTCTCTTACACTCGTGACCCAGCTTCTGGATTCTAAGACAGCAAGCCTTATAATCTATTCTAGCACTAAGTAAAATATTTAGCCTATGAACAACCTTCCGCTCCCTAACACCTTCTCAGCCGTAACCTTAGACCAAGACGAAACGACAATGTGCCCTCTGCTTGTTTTCACCTTGATAGGTTCCTTCGGCTCTTTAATGTTCAGTGCTTAGGCTCCATTTGAGTCACTCTATTAATTGTCGCGTTAATCTCTCCTTCGTCTTTCACGAAATTGACTGCAACCTCCGCCAAAGCCTCCTTGAAAATGGGACGTTGTGTCCCCCGATTTTCTGGATCTCTGGCCCATAATAGCAACGTTGTGCAGACCCAAGCCAAAGTTTTTCTGAAGCTTCTTAAGAGCGTTGGCAAAGCTAGGTGCCTAACTATTAGGTCAGCTTCGGCCATAATTATTAGATATCCAACACGACGAACCTACATACGATGGTATGATCTTTCACGCACGCTATATTAAAATCTGTATTCGATCTCTAGGAAATTGTTGAATTCGTCAAATAGGATAGTGAGAATTTTTTGATTGTCGATAGTACCTGTATATGTAGTTATTTATTTACTTAAGTTGCGTACAGAATTACTGATATGATAATCGGTTATAGCTTCGATGTCTATGCGTCTCGAAGACCCGGCAGAAGAGTAGGCTTCACGCTATGTACATTTACTTACTGATTAGTGACGAAGGCGTGGACCTTGATCGTTTGAAGGACATCCTTTAGTAAAATTTTCGAGGTGAGTGTGCGGCCATGATATATTATTGGATCACAATTTGGTCCATTCCAAACATCCACTGTCACAAAGATATGCCAAAAAATCTCGAGTTCAACTTCAAAGGTCCTCACAGATCTCTATACGGCTTCATCCATTATTATTGTTCATCTATCATTTCAAGCTTAAAATCCGTCGACTAGTTTAATTACCAATTTTATAGGTTAGGGAAAACGGGCACTCCAGGCCGTGTGATAACTTTGTGATCGCTGTACCTTACTGTCTTACGTGTTAAAGTTTCACGTAAAAGTTCAACGTTAAATATTTGTTTGCTAGTACATAAAAGATACAGCTTACATTCAAGACATCGACAGCCTTTGTTTAGTGCGTTGATGTAGGCCGTTACGCTTGAAGGACCGATAAGCTGATGCTGTAAGAGATACCTAGAAAAATATGTCAAGTGTACCATTAGTGATTTTACTGTCACACTTTAATTGGGCGGACGTCCTCCCACAATGATATTTGGAACATTTAATTTAATTTCTCTTTATTTAAAAATTATTTTACTCTTTTTAGGTTAGCTAATTAAAAAAGTGCAAAATGGATTTCTACATCAAATAGTTATGAGTAACTATTTACAAATAAACTAAAGATCACCCGGATTATGCAACGACAAATGCAAGTAACAGATAGTCATTCAAGGCCAATGTTTCATCTGCAGCCGAGCTTATTACGTGTTGTGCGATGAGGCAATGAAGTATTCGTTCAGAGGACGTGACATGTCCTGACATATGGAAAGGTGCTCGTAATCGAAGATATCCTGCAGATCTGAGAGAAGAAATGCCTCGAATCCACGCATGGTCAGCTTATCTCCATAGCCCCAACCCTGATTGTATACGCATACAAACAAAGACATATTTAGCTGTTCAAGTTTTTCTCTTCTCATATGAAAAAGGACTAGTTTTATATTGCTGGTATTGTCAGCTGATCTGGATGAAAATAAGCTAAATCGTGAGGTATGTAACCGACGACTGGCGTTGCTATTCGTGTTGAGGGACAAATACTTTGGCAGGTTTCTTCCTAAAAATCGAAGTTTCACTATCGTCAATATTAATGGCCAGACGCTTTCTAATCAAAGTGCCTCATACGTAGCGGGCTAAGTAAGTTAATAGGCACTCCAGCAGTACGAACCACGTTTGAAGAGGAATTTTCCACTTAATAATTAAATCAATTTCCTTGCCTCTACCATAGTAAGAGGAACAAAAGGGGTGCCATTGAAAAGTATAGAGGAGCATAAATGAAAGGGACCGGAGCAGCATACCTTGTAGGAGTCTTGAGTAAACAACATAATCAGGGCTTGGCATTCCTCAAGTGAGTGTTCTTCCAGCTGGTCACACCTCAAGAAAAGCTGCAGTTCTTTGGGGCCTATAAAGTCACTTCCAGTGATTTTGTACCTGTATATGATGTAGTAACCGTTCAACGTTTCCGACAGAGGAGGATTCTTTTAGACCTTTGTGTCAAGTGAGCCCCGCAATTTGCAATTCAATTCAAATTTCAACTGCTGTACAGATTAATGTGAATTCCTATAAATAACAACCTCAATAGGCACAGATGTATGGACGTCTCATTTTAGTTCAGTAAAAATTTGTCCGAAGCCGCATTTCTTTTTTATGCTTCTTATAATAGTAGTATGATTCGTAGTACCTCCTTTAGTAGACAATGACCTTACTTAGGCAAAAATTAGCTCTCATCAAATCTCATTAAATCTCAGAATTTAAATCTGTTCTTGAAAATAGCTTCGAAAACTTCCTAAAAGGATACCACCAAGACTTGTATGTATGAATAATTTATTTTCGAAAACTGAGTAACTTACTTGTCGAAGAGGCTATGAAGTTCGGGCCGTAGCTGGATCGAGTTGAAGAGAGCAACAAATCTCTTCTTATCCAGTACCCGTTCTCCTCTGTTCCATAGTTCAACAGGGTACCCACTCACGTCCTAATCGCATAGCGATATCAGAAAAATATGACTATTGTTATTTTCTATATATATATATATATATATATATATATATATATATATATATATATATATAATCTTGATGAAAAAAAGGTTAATATGGCGCTTTTTATCCAAAAAAAGCGAACCTTTTTTAATCTATACCTTACTATAAACCTCACTTACCATCTATGCTTAAGAGAACTACTTTTACGCTATATAAGAAGAATTAGTAATTACTATCTCAGTATATGGATAGATGATGATTTTTTGCTAATTCATTTCAAATTTCCAATAATCAGTGACTCAACTTTTACGTCTGTTTCAGAAACGGGACTAGGTCAGACCCTCTTTAAAGGATCTGTAATCAGAAATCCTAACTTGTTATTAATGTATCCCACAGAACTCGGTTGTTGTTTGCGTGAAGCGTACATTAAAATGATGCCGGAGGCCCTTCTTTGGCAGATCGCAGCTCATCTGTCGGAAAAGTTCGATACATTCGTGGTAGCTGACACATCCGTCATTGTTGAGGTCGGCTTGTTCGAAGTGAGCCTTCAACCACTGATCGAAATCGTTACATCGTTTCTGATCACTACGATATGCAGCTTCTAAATGCAACAACGCCCACCTCCATTCCCTGTCGGGACTTAATCCTAATGACCGAAAGGATCAAAGATTCAATTTTCAATAACGATATCTGTCTTCGCTGAATTATAGCTAGAGACAGCTTGCTATTACCATCGAACTTCAACCATGTACTTCTCCCGTTAAATATTTCAGGTAAACGTAAAACCAACGAAAAATAGTTTGTTTTAACCGAAATTTAATCAGTTAACGGCTCCCGAGTTTTTCTGGCTCGTGCGTAAAAATGCTACGGGACGTTATGAAGTATAGCTACGAATCATTCTCTTCCTAAATCGACGGTTTCAACTAACAACGTTTACTTGTTTCGTCAAAGCAATGCTAGCGGACGACCTAGTCGCTAGACAAAACAAAGCTGCAGGTAAAAAAAAATCGCTAGATAAGTTATATATAGGTAAAATCACATTAAACTGAACTTCAAGGCGCTGTCCACTAATGGGCGAGCCGTTACTTTAGAAGAAGTTTATTCGATTTGACAGGTACCTTCACGTATTCATATTTCTGCGTGATATCGAATACGTACGCTTTAACTTGGACCGATCTTTTGCCAGATACGGCCGAACCAATGCCAATCCCATTGGAATAACGATCACTTCTAGTAAATCACAAGAGATTGAGCACTTCTGCACTTTTCGATCGGTTTCCAGATTTGAGGGGCTTATAGACAGCTGTACATTTCAATATTTATAGACGAAATTTAACAAGCCGCCCAAAGTACATGGCATTCCCCCTTCTTGGTCATTACAAAGTCACGATACAAACAACAATGTTACTACTAAATTCTATAACACTGGTCAGCTGACTGGGTGCAGCTTCTCAATGCCATACCAGAACAGCTGATTGAAGCTCGCTGTCTTGTTTTCCTCACGGCTGAAACACTTTACACGAAAAAATAGTGTATTTTTATCGGTTAGTGTGCATCGTGCTTCACTTATTCGACTGGGACGTGAAACACCAGGTGAGTATGATAGCACCCGTTGAAACACTTGGATGATTAACAATAGCTCTAAAATGAACCTTTTGCGATTTGAGTATGTGTATTTATGTATACAATATATCCACTTGTCATGTTGTTCCGTATACTGTAATACTTTCGAACAACGATCTAGGATTGTCGCTGATGCGTAAAAAAAAAAAGCCTACTTTCCGACCATCATATATTTTGGTTCAGGTTTACTCGGAACAGCAGGGTTTCAATAGTGTACGTGATGTCAGGTTTTCAGCTAGCTGGTTTAACTCGTTTGCATTTTGAAGTTGCAGTTACGTTTACGAAAAATCGCTCCGGCCGTCAGACTGACACAGTCTACACAACACGCTACCGTCTAAACCATCCCTCTCAACTTACGCTCCCATTTATCGAGGTACAGACCTAACTTGGGCACTCGCCTTCCAGAATCTCGAGTCCGCAATGCTATTTGTCATCAGCTATTACTTCTGTCGAATCAAAAGTGTAGAAATATGCATCACAAAAGCAATGTCTTGGACGGTAAGGATCGCGTCGTTGTCCGCTTATGTCACGGCGCGCAGAGTTGTTGTCCCAAAAGTTAGAAATTATTTTTAGTTTTATGTCCAGTATTTAGGCAGCTACGCGTTATGTCAAACGTCATTCCGAGAGTTAAACTTCAACAGGCTAGCTTCAATTCTACCACTGCTCGGTATGCAACAAGTGTAATTACTTCACTACAATTCATTAAGAACCATCCAGCCGCTTATCTTTAAGCAAATCGGGCGGATTTGTTTAAATAAACGTTGACGTAAAATGATGCAATTTTAACATGTGTTGGAGGTTGGCCTCCTTATTTTCTACACGCCTGTCCAGGCGCTTTCGCACAGCTATGCGAAGTAGTGCAAAGTAAATGGATAATAGGATGTGTTTGACCACTGACCTTACCCCTTGAGGCATGCAAAACCCCATAATGATACCCAAATCGGGAGAATAAGTGGGCTGAAGCCAACATTAAATTTTTCTTTGCTCTAATCCAGGAACTGATCGAGATTGGCGATGGGCTCTGGCGCTGTCATTACACGACGTGTTTTCGGTTATCGTGCCAATGGGCCGTGCATCTCTTGGGGAACTCGAGACAGCGGACTGCATGGCCTGTTTCGGCGAGTATCTCATACTAACAGTATCCATTGTAAGGACTATCATTGCCTTCCCTACTTACCACTGCTAGCGAAATCGGTTGCTGTCCTGGGCGACGCCATTCTCTTCCCTGGTCTTTCTCCAGCTGGTAGTGGAGACTGAACCATGCCCCGTCTATGACGACCGTACGCTTCCCATGGACCTTTTATTAATTAACACACACGCGTTCATGCGGCCTAGAATCAATTCACGGGAGACCCGTCCTTTTGGCTTCCATATGAAATGACAGCTTCCGTAACGTATCTGTCCGATAATCTTAAGGATACGTCGCGGTTTAGGGTCGAGTCCGTGCATAGACACACTTCTATTCATGTTCGGAGTCTCCCGTTTGATGCAATGCCTAACGACAACGCCGTACGTAAAACTCGAAATATAGCATACATTTGAGCAAAGAAATTTGTTGAATCAAGCAGTCGTTCACCCACTAATTCTGCTAAGAAAGACGTGAACTTGTTTTAGTGACGAGCAGAGGTTGGTCTTCACCTTCAGGCTAACTTCCGCCCAGATTTTAAACTTCCTGGCTAATTGAGAAACGGCCTACCGTGTTATAATTTCATATAGAAATAGAATCGGGTTCGGGCACTTTTGGCAATCCTGCTCCTTAACAATTTTGTTTTATGTAGATGGACAACTGGCTCGCTCACGACCCGGAAGATGTTCTTATTGCGGCTGAAAGGGTGAAATTTCCGGTCGGTGTCTACGTTCTGAACGCAGTAGTATTTCGCGAAATATCTATCAAGCCATCACAACCTCGTGAAGTGCATGTGAAAAAGCCTCTTTATATATTCTATAAAGCGGTAAAACTGTCGATGGCTACTCTACCGAAGGTCAAAGTATAGTTAAAGTATAATGGACATGGCCATGCGAATGATAACAACCTAACAATGTCGAGTCGCTCATCGTTGCTATAAAGTAAGAGTCTAAAGATATGGATGGGGTTTTTTGGTAAGGATTTGTGAGAAGTTTAGACCTTAAATGGGAGCCGTGGTTAAAACGAACGACAGTTAAACCGAATACACGTAATGATCAAGAATGCTTTTGTTGGCTGGCACCAGGACAACATCTGAATGAGATCGTTCTTGCAGCCTATCAACAGGTGCCATCAGTTCCGGCCAAACTCAATTTTTCAAACATTTTGTATATTCACACAATATTATATAGAAGTTGTATTATTTACTTATAAGGAAACGATACGATTGTATAGATATAGAAATTAACTTTATTTCTCTGTTTTTATAAGTCGAGTACCACCGTTTAAACCACAGAAGGATAACTTTTTTCTCTGTTATTATTTTATTATATTTACATTACAATACAATGTGGGTGACGAGAACTGGATGAACACGAGGGTCGAGCAAGACATATGCTTCGTCGCCATATATTTTTCAGATGACTCTATGGCCAAGTAGACGGCAAGAGACGCAAACGAGGCATCAGCAAAGATAAAATAGCCAAAATTTAACATCTACAGATAACACTTGAAATTTAAGAGCATTCGAGCAATTATACTCTAATTACTCATGATATACAATTATTCATAATGTAGTAGTTTTCTTTTTTAAGAGTAATTTAAGGATAATATAGATCTAATAATTAAAAAAACAAAAATAAATTAAGTGTATTCCTTACTCCAATTAAGAAGTCCTTTTGTATAGGGGGGAAAGGATACTGATACGTTATATAGATCTAGCAACAGTAACTTTACGTTGAACTAGTTATTTCGCGTAAGGATACAAGATTGTAACGTGTTCGTTATCACCTGGTGATGGTACGTATATATATATGTATATATATACGGTAGTATAGTACGGATATAGTAGCGAGTATTTCTAGGACAATCGAATCATCAAACAAAACGTGGTCGATTTTGCATCTGTGAACCTAAAGACAAAAATGGCCCAAAGTTAGACATCTTTCTGTTCTACTATACCAACTCGAGGGAATTGTATCTCTTCTATATATATACTGGACCACATAGCTTGATAGATAGAGAAAACTGAAGGCAAGTGTTGCAGCCATGCCATGGTTGGTAATTTAACTTACTACGTTTCGTAAAAAGATGATGGCAAGTCCGTGTTCAGCATTAAAGGAACAATATCGATAATACGATATAAATACAGCAGTTGAAGAACGATTTGACACCAAATGTATAGATGTACGGTATCTTATCATAAGATCAATTTAGATCAGATGGATATATGTAGATATTTGCGTCTGTTTATTGGGGCTTCACATTCACACTGATCCGCTGTTCTGGGATATTTGCTACATACATCTCGAGCCGGCGCATTTTTACTATATTTATATCGTCTACTCTATATCTATACAATGTTTAATCAAGCCATTAAATATAGTATAACGAAAATCTGATGCGGTTGATGTTACGTCGCTGGGTCGCATAATACCCCTTCCACCTAAAATTAGCAGCTGTCAAAACAACGACCGGACCATTCGGTAGGAGACTATTGAATCCTCTATTTCGTTCACAGCACGGTAGGCGTGTACCGAAGCCAGCACTGGTATTTACCAGCCGGGTAAGTCAAATCAAGAACCAGTCAAAAACTGTAACCCACAGGTTATACTGAGTTGTTCCATTGTTGGCTAGCCTCTCTATCTGTATAGCCAACGAAAATGTCAGCTAAGCTCATCTTTGAAGCGATGACTCGACTCTTCGTTTAACACTGAATCGTTTCCAATATTCAGGTTCCCTTAGGTTATATGTTAGCTGTAAGTGCCAATTAATAACAAATTCTCCATTATTCTCAACTTTACTATACGACCCGTCGTTACGTCCTTGTTAACATCTCCTTCTTAGGGAATTAATTGCTAACATGTTGATAGCTTAACGACAAAGCGTATGACCACTATTGTGTCGTCCAGTAGCTGAGTTCACTTAAGCGAACGATCAAATCGGACTAGATCCTTGGCTTCGGCATGTTTGTTCGGCAAAGTCTGCTAATGTACAAGTCACGAAACAGCAACTTTCCATTGAACTCTTTTAGCTGCCGTACTCCAACTCCTCCTGGGGACAAGTACCAATTGACACATGGACAAAAAGTGTAGCTGGAACAATTTTCTCGAATGCCGCATTCCGCAGATGTACGTGTCGGTATCCGCCTTGAATGACGCTCACGGGTATGGCGTATTTCCCTAACTTTTGGTTTTTACCAGTTCTGGAATCGTCCCTAACGATGAAAACCAGCGTAGCGAGATCGGGGACGTTAATCGTGAAGCTGAAGGATTTGTTCCAGTGAGGGTTGAATCCTATGGACACACATGAACAAGGCATTGGTTTAGCGAGAGATGTGAGACAGTATATATAGTCTGCCTTGACGAGCATAACTAAAAACGAAAAGAGCAGGCTTTCGTTGCTCCTCGCTATAACAGGAATCACATAAACACGCTGAGTGGCGCAAGTTACAGAAGGCTCTGTCTGACTAGGGCGTACCGTTATTTTTAACGAACTCGGTTTTCGCTCTGTACGAGTCCGATGGATGGCCGACTATCTTAAGCACGACATACGGATCGACTACCTCGCCTTCAAGAGCTTCATCCGGTTTAGGGATGTGTTGTCCGCTGATGATCTATGAAAAGTACGCATAAAGAACGTGTTCGAGCTAGCATTCAGTTAGGAATTGTGTATTGACTATTGTGCACAGGTGTGGCCGGCCCCAATACATAATATAATAGCTATATTGGCTTCTCGATCCTTCAAAACGCCTTAATACCATTAGATTATAGGAGAGTTAGTAGCAGATTTAATAGCGTTATAGAGGGCCAAAATGTTCAAATAACACCTTTCAGCTGCGCTTATCGTTTCTATTGATACACCTTTATGTTAAGTATCCGACGCAGACAGGCTGGTGGATGATTGAAGTTGAACCCTTCACGCAGTATCTGCGGCTTGAGAACGTAACCGCAATTGCCATTTTGGGCGAATTTAGCCACGTTGTAAAACATGCTACGATCTGAAGTCTGATAATTGAGTGCCACTAAAATGAAATGGGAAAAAAAACAAGGAACCCATATTAGTATGATTAATTTATTAACACAATATTGAAGGGAATCTTTTTCGTCTAAGATACGATCTGTTGGTAGATCATAGTATATAGCATTATGAAACTCGAAGTAAGCTTCACTTACATGGTACGAATGAATGAGTCAATTATTGACCCCTTTGCTGACCTTAAGCGTTTGCACGCATCATAAATGTTCAGGTGTTTTGATAAAAAAGAAGCGATCAGACTGACGAAAACTTACCAATCTGACATCCTACGTTGAAGATGGGAATAGGATCGTAATTAGTTGATGAAGTTCTGCTGCTTTTTGGATAAATTCGGGCAAGAAATTTTTGTGTGTACCTCATTAAGTCTTGCACGCCCTCCTCATTTGATAAGATTTTAAAGTATTTCGTCTCACTAAACGATGCCATCTGATTGAAGTTCCCTGTTGGAAACACGATATCACCGTACGTTAAGCCTTAATATTAAATGAAAGTCAGTCGTGTTTATATAATGATAACCAAATTATTCGGTTTAGGTTCTCAAAAAACCTAGTTATCCTGATGTAGCTTCCTATTCTAGTGGCAATCTATTTGCCATGACTTCTACATACGAGATGATACGATATATAATGACTGTGTTAATGGAGTAAATTGTTCCTAGGCTGAGTGACGTCCCCGATCTTCAATGAAATCTCCAAGTTTCATGCAGAAATACTGCTTTCTGAAATCTTCGTGCAATGTCGGTAGGTCTTTTACCTACCGACATTGCACGAAGATACCGAGAAAAACCGAAATGCGACCTTACATTTTTCTGTATCTTCGAACGAGCGAAACTGGGTAGCTACGATATAATTGATAAGGTCAGATAGTTCTGAAGCCAACGCGCTGTGTTTTCTCGATCCACCGCCAACTTTTGACGAAGCTCGTCTAGTTAACGAGCGACGTAGGGAAATATTTCGCTCTTTTGTTTCACTGAAGGCGCCGATCCAGGATCTGAAACAGGACACACATTTGTTGACACGGAGCAAATTTGTTAGGAACATATATATTACTAGATAAAATTATGTGTACGTAGGTATCGTCCCCTTGGACTTGTTTCGCAGGCCTCTCTTACCCGTGAACCCATGGCCGTACGGAAAAGAAAATGTCACGCTTTTCAGAGTACGCTTAAACACTTCGGTTATCGTAGGCTATCAAATTGACTATAGTGTAGGTAAACGACCGAAATTCCCCAATGCGCAAATAGTTCATTAAATTTTAAAAACTGAAAAAATAAAACGAGCACCGTTAGCAAAGTGGATACGAATCCAATTTTGTAAGATGCCTAACAAGATGTAAGGGGCCTAACAGAACTCTATGCAACAGTTATCGCATTAGATACTTTCCCATTGACGACAGATTTGATTTAGCTTGAAGAATGCCGGCTTCTTCCAGCAGAGGGCATGGCATCTACATATTTATAGACATACAAGCAGGCTTCGAGTGAGATAGCCTAGGTCTATAGCTGGGAGGTACAAGTGTGCAGTTAAATGAGAAAAAACAATGCGTTCACGCATATACTTCGTTTCGCGCTGCTGTAAGCCTACTTTAGATGCCCCACATCGGCGTATTATGTATCCATATTGCCGCATAACTGGAGTTCTCGCTGTCGTCGTCATTCACTCTCCATGTTTTGAGCAGGTATAGCACGTATACATGACGCGTTCGGACCTAGAGCTACCAACGTTTTAGAGGCCGTTACAAACATTCAATTCTTCGATCATGTTAGCTCATTCTCTAAAATGTATTCGATATCTGTCCAGCCACTAATAGAACGCAGCCTACCATTGGGTAGCTTATATATATACGCCAGTGTACTATCGTGTGGATGCTAACTACAAACCAGTCTACTTGACCGACTAGTAATTAACTTACGGAATCAAGCTATTGTCACGGTGCGTTGCATACTGACTACGTGTCAGAGAAGTTTAAGGTATTCAACATGCGGCTGTGATGAGAAGGCCATACTTCTACAACAGTGGTCTGATCGGCTTTTTTTCTTATGACAACGTCTTTTTATCTATTTTTCGCTCGGCTATATCCTATATAAACAAAGGACTAGTATGATATATATCGATTTAACATTTCGTAAACTGTATACACCAGAATAGAAGTCCGATTACGTTCATCCCGTTGTCCCGGAGATCGTTAGGGAACAGCTAGCTAATAGATAGCCCAGTAAAGTCATGGTTGACTATTCAAGGGACACATCAATCACCAATAACAATATAGATTACCATGTTCGTAGCTAAAACAAAAAATTGATAATTGCACTAATAAAAAAGTAATTCTATTTATTTTTAATAGTGCTATCATCCATAATTTTCTGCAAAAAATTTTGATTTGAAGTATGCTCTTACTACGGTATTTTTTATGGCGACGAGAACGAGCGGTCTAGGTAAATATACGGGGACACAAACTTTTAGTCTACGAGTAGTAATTGATAGAGCCTGTCTTTAGGCGAGCGTTAATAGGCGAATGTTCGTAAATACGCGAGTAAAGTATGGCCGATTAACTTCAGAGCGCTGTATAATTTGTTCGAGACTTATACCACTATAAGTCTGCCCGCGTGGGTGGCCCGCGTATAAAAAGTGGACTCTATATAACACTTAATGACACGTATATTCTGAAGTGTTCCAACATGAAGATGTGGTAAAAGTGTACGGCACTTACGACTTTTCTTCCCCAAACGTATTACAGCTGTTATTGTTGCTGCCTCCATTGGAGTTATCGAGATCATCAACTTGAAATAATTTCTTATCTTCATCGGTTTCGTTGGATGATGCGCTTCCAAGTTGTTCGGATATCTGCAAGATGCAAAACGATTGTAACTTTGAGGTTTTTTTTTTTGCCTAAAGTTATAACATTGGCTAATATGTGCCTATTTCGAGATCAAACACAAAGTGTCGAATTCGTAATACATGCATTGTTGGTTTGAGGTACATTTTGGTAACGGAAAACACCGTTACGTACCTATTTCGGCCTCTATTTTGCGTTTTCCTGACTTTTTCTGAATAAAAAAATAATATTGGGTATTCACTCTAGAAAGGCAAGATAATAAATGCTGGATTTTCAAATTATCACACCAAATGACCTGATCAAGCATCGATAAAGTGCAAAATTTCATTTCTAGAGGTCCTTAATTTGTTCAAAGCCGCTCACTGGTAACTGGTCGATGTGATCGAGATAGTGGATCGCATTAACTATTGAGCAACTTAGGTATACAGCTTTTAATGTATCAATGCACTATACATATATTATAGATGATTTTCGGGCAAAAGTATTGGTCTGACCTCCGATGAGTCGCTAAGGTCACCCGACATTTCATAGTCGGGCAAAACAGTCAAAAGTTCCTCTCGTTCGCGAGTTTCCCGACAAGCCGCCTGATTCAGAGGAGGTAGTTTTTTGCCCTGTTAAACCCACACAAAAACCGATAATGTTAGTGTCAATATTTCGCTCATTTGCCCCTCATGCACTCTTCTCATAAAAGATTTCCCACATTTTTCAAGTTTACAAATTGCGTACAGTGGGGCTAGCCACCATATCTACGAAAGCAGAAAAAGACAAATAAAATTTTCCCGGTAAATTCTGTTCGACGAGTTCGGATTACCTCTACGCTTTAACGAAACACTCATGATCCATCTTTCCACCACTATAAAAGGAAGGAATTCAGTAGACTTTTAGGATCACCTCGAATCTCAGAATATTGGCCACGTTAAGATATAATCTGCAAAGCGTCAAATCGTACGTAAATTTAACAGAAATTATGAGGTCAGAAGAAGGAAGAACATAATATACCCTTCACGTAGCGCCAGGCAGCTTACTAGGCACCTATTTTATCTTGAAATATTCTATGTAAATATTATTATCCTTTTAATACTGATCTATTTACTGTATCATTCTACATTTTATATATACAGATCTATTATTATATCATTAACATTAAATTGATCTGGGCGCTTATTATGCTGATCAGCTATTCTTGCTTATTAAAGGCCTATGCAAATTGGACTAAATATCTATTAAGCTCATCGAAAATATTATGACCATAACAGAGACATTAACATCATTTTACTCAGAGACAACCTTTTATAGTTCCCGTTAGGAAAGCCAACAGAATTGACGTCCTGAGGGAATCGACATTCCCCAGCGTTAGAATGTAGTTGAATGCAGACATGCCTTTTTAGGCAAAATGCAAGTGTACAATGCAAGGTAGAGGTTCGACAGCTCCGGAAGCTCTGTGTGTGCTTTACAATTTACGCGGATAGGGAAAATACTATTACTTATTATCTTCCCTTAACTTACTACTTCCAGGCTCTGTAACGTTAAAACTCCTACGACCAGATATGCATAATATGGTTTCCTTCACCATGCAATTCGCATTAAGTTACCAAATTAAAGGTCCTATTCAGAATGTACTCCTGAAACTGAACGATCGCTATTGATGGGCCACCTCACAGGGCTCTTTCAAGTCAACGGACCAACGCAGTATTCGTTACGTCACGAACACAAGAAAGTACAACAACAATAATAATTATTATTATTGTTATTATAACTTTCTTCATTCGCACGAATTTTGAGGAACTTGTCTGTCAGTGACGGGTGGTACAGAATGATGGCCAACAAATTCTACCTGGGCGCTTTCTCAGCTGCGTCGTTCGTGCGTGACACGACACTAAGAGACTTCACAGAATCGTTGAGACTTCGAGGCCGATTATAAAGGTAATTCGCCTTAAGATCGTCAAACCTGTCTATGATGCGCTTCTCACTCGGCTAGATCGACTTTAGAATAAACAGGCGGATCTCTTTTTTACCTGTACAGTGGAGAAATACTAATTAATGCATGATTCCGTAGCGAGTGACCAGTACTAACGAGGGCACGAAAAAACGACCCATCAAAGTGACGCTTTATTGCCCATCACTGTATATACTTTGCATGAAAGTAGCTATTATTTAACTTTTCTCCATATGACCATCTCGATCGTTGCTAAAGAGTTGACAAGGTAAGTCTGCAGCGTTCTGCACCTTTGTAATATTAGAGGAGTTAGAGTTGCTAGGTCAGATTGTAGACTTCGAAAAAAGGATCAGCAACCTGAAGGCGGAGGGTCCACTAACATGCATGAGGCTTAGAAGAAGGTTTCGTAACGAGGATATTATATGAACTAAGAAAGACAGACAGTATTGTAACATTTCTATTTCATTCAATGGTAAGTGCATATATAAAGATGTCTAATGTAGGGCTAAACTAATACGTCTAAAATCTCAAAAAGATCAACGAGTCCACCCATTTGTACTCCATATGCTGCATGATAGGCGACAAGATTCAGCGGTTTATCGCACCACAATATTGCTTATAGCGCCAAGTAAACTTGTTTCAATCATACAGAAATCAAAAGTTTTAATTAAGGGTTTTATTATAATTTGCTGTTTTAGTTTAAAAGTCGATATATCTTCTTTTTTTGGGAAAGCGGAAAACCAACCTTTTCATGCTAGCAGTTTTATGATTCACCTTGATTTTAAAAGTAAAAGTTTGCTACATGTTAAAATTTTTTAATCGTTCAGCTGAGAAAACTTCGCTAAGGAATTATGGGAAGTTTACAGGTTTTGTTAATATAATACAGTCAAAAAATAAGCGACATACCTTACTGAAAGGTTTGATTACTAAGTCAAGTTATGCGTTTCGTTAATTAACTATACAAAACGGCGCAAAAAATCATTGACAAGGGAAATAAGCTTCAAGGACGTCAGGCACCTACCTTGATCAGTATCTTGTACTTAAGCTGCTCGGGGGAGGGTAGTTGAACTTCGTCAGCCCCGATTGCCTCGGCGCATAACATATCTATAGTAAAAGGAAATTTATTTATTAGGGGGCAATAATTAAACAAGTGAAAAGAGTACTATGGGTACTACCACATTCATTTAGAGTTTCAGCTTCATTCTTCGACACTATCAATGATTCTCATCTTTAGCTGACCGAAATTTAACGTTGTTTGTCCGTACGTACTTTTACTGGATATGGTTCAGTGTTTATTTTTTTTATGTTCGTTTCGAGTCTACGCATGCGTATATACGTGATTTCAATTTTTCGGTAAATATTCTCTTACCTCCCAGAATTTCGCGAAAGTATCTTGCCATCACAACTTGATTCTCTTGACTACAGTGATTTTCTATGGAAAGGATAACCGGGTACCTAAAACAGAAGAAGGTGCCATTTCAATTTGGGATTTTAAAAACAAATGAACAAAGCCTCTCGGTATCGTATCTGCTAACGCTGTGTTCAAACAAAATAGAACTTACGGACTAGCAACAAAAGCGTACTCCCTTATAGCCTCAATGACGTCCTTGAGGAGGATTTTCGAAGTGAGGGTATACCCGTGGAAGATAATTGGACCTCCACTGTTATGCTGTCCATCCCATACGTCCACTGAAACGAGTCATTAGAGAACGCTGAAAAGTTCAACATATTTTAAATACAAAAATAAAGAGCAATAGGTCATGTCTGTCTAGGAACTAGATATATAGTGTCATCATAAATCGCGTCGCTTGATTTTGGTGTTGTCGTATATATTTATACCTATCGGAATTTCACCCTTTACTACCATCTGCGTTAGTCAGCCGCGGGCAGGTCTGATGCTGTTCGACGTTTTACTTTCCATCCTTCCTAGGCTATCCCGTGCCATCCTAGGCCAGCCAAGCAGTTCTCTTTTTGCTTCTAGTATACTAAGGTGGCTCGGAGCCGTACGATGTAATGTGGTATTGCATTAGGTCGCCTTGGGAAAACACTTCCGGGTAGGCAAAGCAGAAGGGGCCGATACGTGACTTTGCCACTATCGTGCTCCACTGATTGTATATCGTATAGAACTTTGTTTTAAGGTATACAGTCCAGATTTGGTTGTGTCGTGTTTAAACAACCATATCGGGAAGGAAATTGATGCTTACTGCTAGTACATCAACGTTTGCCCGTAGTACAGAGTAGAATATTCCACTGGTACGCAGCGAATATATTGGAGCCAAGAGAGGAAACCCTGTTGCCAGCTATTGCGAAACTAAGCGATATATGTCGAAACTAACCCCCAGAGACGGCTCCGAAAACAGGTATGGGCCACCAGCAAGCAAATTACCCGATTTGTTCTCTGCTAGCATTGTAAGGACTACGAAAGATAGTTTCGGATAGGTGTTGAGGATAAACGTACGACACAAACAGGTCGTCCGCTTAACTAGAAGTTAGGCTCATGCTTTGGACGCTCCCTTCGGAATTGTGTTGTCAGGCCTGAATGCTGCTACGAAAAAACTTAAATCCATCGATGGAAAACCGGTCAGGCGCAAAGAACGTTAATAACCTTGGAAAGTAATATGCAGAACCTAGTTTAATTCGGAAGAAAAAAGGGGGTTTTTTAAGCATAAGTCGCGTCTCCGTATGACTGGATTAACGCGAACCCGTTCCGATCTTAAAATTATCTTGCTTTTGCATTTCGTACTTGCTTCCGGCGTTGTCAAAACTGACGTCGTGATAACGCAGAGTATTTTACGTACAAGTAGGAGCATTTAAGAAGTGACTGAAATTCATTATGATGCAGCACCATTTCCGTAACAGGTCACAAAAAATGCGCTACTACCGTAGTGACCCAGTATGCACGCTCTTTCTCTATATGCGTAATCCACTGTGCAACTTACGAAACAGCATACATGTACACTGTTCCGTATCACATGTGTAAATTCGTTTAAAATGCAATAGTTAATGTGCTGTAACAGTAACTTTAGTTTATTATGGAGGCGACAGAAAAGCTGGATGCATGCGTGAGTCCAGCTTCCAAATATCTTCGAAGATAGAAGAGTGCAAGGTCAAGACATATTTTGTCGCACTCTCTTTTGCAATATATACGAGACTACCGTAAGTCGGGTTTGTTTTGTGGGCTTCGCAAGAAAAATCGTAACGGTCCACGACGTTGGGATCTAATCCGATATCTGCCATCTTGTCAGCAACCAGAGCAACCGTATCATTTAGCTACACTTGGGCATGCGTCGTACCGCAAAAGGAACTTGAAAAGATTACACATATTAGATAGACAACGACAGCGTACATATATGCAAAAAAAATGATGATCAAACAACTTACATTCAAGACAGCGACAACCCCTTCGTAGCGCCTTGATATATCCTTCAACGCTAGAGCTACCAACTAGTTGATGATTCAATAGGTACCTGAAATGAAAAATATCAGTATACAGCGTTTGTGTGCTGCTACTGTTATCAGCGCACACAATGAAGACAAATGCAACTCTTAAGGAACTTATGGCTGTCTTGCAGAAAATGAACACTGATTCGAAGCTATATTTTTATCTTATCTTATCTTAATTTTATCTAATCGGCACTAATCAGTAAACAATAGGAACGCGTACGTATTATGCGACGAGGCGATGAAGTATTCGTTAAGCGGGCGCGTCATGTCCTGACAGACAAACTGATGCTGGTAGTCAAATATGGCTTGCCGATCTGACAGTAGAAATGCTTCAAATCCATGCATACTCAGATGGCCTCCGGAGCCCCAGTCCTGTTGCCGGGGGACCAGAGACGAAAAAATTTGTCGATGTTACGAACGTAAATTGCATCGTAATTACCGGACATTTTAAATTGTTTGCATTGGTTCGCTTCTGGCAAATATAATTGTAAAACACTGTTTCAGCTTTATTCTAAGTTACGTTATGCGCCTAGAACGCAAAACGGCCCCGTCTGCATACAAATTATAAGTTCATTTCGGTATAGAATAAGAATATCTCTTGTCGCTAGAGTATTCTTTTTTGCCGTCACGTGCCGCTTTTTATGAATTCTGTTGATCGTTGAGCTATTATGGTGATGAAGACATTGAGAGCGAAAAGAAGACTTCAGCACTACTTTAAATAAATCCATTTGTTCCGCTACTGAGTGTGTCGCATTAACAACTATCTGTCATGGTCAAAGGGGACAATTCGGTTACCTTTAGGTAGCATGTATGCTCTTACCTTATTAGGATCCTGAGTAAGCGTCGTAATCAGTTCCTGGCACTCCTCAAGTGAGTGGGTCTCGCATTGTTCATGCTTCAGAAAGCTCTGTAGCTCATCGGGCCCCATCAGGTCACTTCCTCTAACTTTATACCTTTAATTATTAGGATGAATGGTATTCAATAGGGTTGTCCCAACAGTGCGCGCGCCTGCTCGCAGGCTGAATGGCTTTAAAATTTCAGTATAACGCCTTGAATCTCATTTAACTTTCTAGTATAACGCAATAACATAAACAAGCTGTTTTCTATCGCAGTCTAACTGACCGCAAACTCGAGCGGACGTTTCTTCATTGAAAAGTGTTCTTCTCAAGCGGCTAGCCGGCAACCGAAGCGGTATCCTGGACAATATGTTTAGCTCTTTGACAAAATATTTATTTAATGGCCAGCTTAGCCATACGAAAGTTTCTGGCTGAAAGCAGCTTTCAGCCACTACACCCATGATACAATACAGGAAAGCAGATCGTATCTATTAACAGCGTTTGAAACTGGTAGAACATGATTTCTGTTCTTAAATATCAACACTTAGTAACATTGTCTTTTCAATAACATATGTGTTGCAAGTCGTCATACTGGGTGATGCAGGACAAAGCAAAGCATCGTGTATTTACTTTCACAGGTTAAAAGCCGACCGCTGTCTAAATCAACGCGTCAATAGACTTCCAAATTTCAACCCGAATGCTAGGTGACGCGGAATTCGAAGAACCCATCGGGCCAAGCGCCTAGACGATTTCAGGCGACGACAGAGCAAGGGTCTCGTCGTATATACGCTATTATTTCAAGTTTTATATAAAATATTAAGCACAGAGGACTTTAATAATGCACAGAGGGCATTAACGTCGCGCGGTGACGATCAGCCACCCCTCGCCGTCACCCTAATAGACAGATGATCAGCTTTCAACGGATTGTTATTTGATATGTCGCTGACCGACATCGTTGTGTCTACCTACGCTCAACTTACTTGTCAAATAATTCCTGAATTTCGGGCCTATGCAGTAGGGAGTTATAGAACAGAACAAACTCTTCTTTGTCCAATACATCTTTTCCATCGACCCGTGTACGATTTTTGTTTGCAGCCTAATACAAAAAAGTGGGTCCGTTGTTATTATGCGTTGATTTTGATTGATGCGCGCACGACTATAGTTTGCTTTATGTAGAATTTCTCTTAGGCAGTACTTGTGCACTGGTAATTCAAGAGCTGTGCTTTAGCGTTCGTAGCGAACGATAGCGGCCGAACGATGGACGCTAGCGCGCTAATGTCGTGCCATAGACTGGAGTGTTAGTGCGAAGGTCTCATACATCATGCGCCTCAGTAGGTCGACCTGACCATGTGACGAGCAAATCGATTAGGTGCCATCATGTATGGTGCGACACCATGGTGATAATCAATCTTCAATCGTGTACATAATCATTTCTTCGCTCATATGCCATCAATCTGACGTATTTGGGTAGTAGCGGAAAAATATATGGTGGACAGTTTCCGAAGTCGAGGTTTCGCTCTACGTAAACGTACATTATCTGTTTGCGGAAGCGCATTCTAGATCATTTTCTAATAAAGATCGAATTGCAAAAGCCATGCTGAAGCTGCTCTCAACGCGTCTGCAAATTAGCCAACAGCTGGTGAGTGTGGGCTGAGCTCGTTTCGGGCCCGTGATTCCATTATTTCGCTACGACATTGAATCATTTCAACTGTAATGCAAGGTTCTACAAATCCTACAAATGTCTATGCTTATAATAAAGAAAAAAAAATTGATAGGAGTGAATCTCCGGTGAGCCCTTCTAACTGCCGTTGCTTGTTACTGCGTTGAGTTCTATGAAAAAAGCAAAAAAAAACCTCGATAGCGGTAGCAGAAATCTACGTAAAAAGCGCGGTTATTGGTGTTGCTTAATCTTAAAGGTAACTTGCGAGGGATGATTTGAGCGGAACAACGAATTAAACGGTGTTGAAGTTTTATAGTATAGAACACGGTGACCATTTTGCTGTAGCGGCCTCAGTTCAAATATCTATAGTGATGGAAGTAAACGAAAAGAAACAGCTTTAGCCTAGTGGCCTAAAACGAGACCTGAAAATTATTAGGATCATTTAAATCGGTCGCGTGGAAAATTTTAACTCAGATAAAACCGTCCTGTCCGATTTTTAGAAAAAAGACTGCGGAGGAATGAAGTCAGCTAGTATTTATGGGCACACTTGAATTTTAGCGTACGTACGGAAAATGGCGTGTAATGAAACAGTTGCAATAGTAGAATATTCATCATTTAGTGGGGAAGCTTTCGATTTTACTTGAATAATGAATTTTGAATTTAAAGATAGACTTATATAGTGCTGGTAATTATTCATAGATAATAAACGTTTGTGTTTTCTTTAAAAAAGAAAAAGAAAGATGAAAAGGTTCGCAGTAGAAAATGGGTACAGCCACTCACATCGAACAGTTTTCTGACGAGTTTCTTCGGAGCAGCCTTGTTCATTTGTCTGAGCAGTTCGAGACATTCAGAAAAATTTAACACTCCATTCGCGTTGATATCTGCCCGCGTAAATTGTGCCTTGATCCAATTATCAAATGCCTCCTGGCGTTCAGCATTACGGTAAGCTGCCACCAAATGAGACAGCACACGACACCACGCAACGCAGGTGTCCATTGTAGGAGCTGGAAGGTAAAATCAGCCGGAAAGCTAACTATATAGTAAGGAGCCCCCATAGACTGCAAAGTTGAGGCGAATGACACTATTTTTATTATCATTACGTATTATACCTAGAAATAATAGAGATCATTTATAGGTTACAATTAATGTCAGCCTCTCACCGTACCTCAGCCATGCAGCGTTTGGAAAAAATCTGTTTTTCAGCTATAGACGGGTTGTAATTGTTTTGCGCGGTTAAACAATTTAAGGTCAAGCTCAGACCCCAGAATGGTGGGTCTTCCATTTCTAACGACCGAAGTGACCCCGACTGTTCATGACCGTGTATGGCGACTTTAACTGAGAAAGCAGTTCCCAAAGATAGTTCGTCAACTTATGCATGTGCCTGGAATATGCACTCCGCCCAGATCTACCAGCGCTATGATGAAGACTACTACTAAACGCACTTCGTAGAATGGCAAACAAACACACCGTCAATTAGTGAAGATAATGGGTTGTGAACACTTGATTATCCACAGGCATCTTAAACCCATCGAATTTCATAAAGAAAATAAGATGCCCTATAAACTAAGTGGAAAAGGTACCTTAATTGGCTTTCAACACAGTAATAGATTATCAAGTAGAGTTGTTGCATGCAAGATGTAAAACCTTTACTCTGATATAAAGCAGTTGCGTCTACAGGTAGAAACGATTTAGCACGTCAACATTTCAATGTCCAATGTCAATATTTTTCACGGCATTCAAACGTTTCACAGCGTACGGCCTTAAACGGCTTCGGTATTAACTGGGTCTTAATGCCGCTGGACTAATTATCACTTCAAGCATTTATGTAACCGTTACGTAACCGGCCATGAAAGGAGGTCTGGAAGGCTACGTTTTGCCCTGTATTCTATTCGATTACTGTTCGTGAAAAGAGCCTTACACGTTTGACATAAACTTAACGCGCCTATTTTCATGTATACTTGAATAATTTGGTAGCTTATATAATATAGGAGCCGGTTTAGCAAGCGATAGCTTCAGTTCTCCGCGCATCTTCGTTAGACCAACTTGTATATATATATATATATATATATATATACATTGTACTCTTCGCGAATGATTAGTTCGAATTGGTTACCCCCGTCCTGCATGAACATGAAACTTCTAAGGGAACTATTAATGCTAACTTTACACAGTTTATATGTATATATATATATATATATAAATCGATAACAAATGTTATATAGATTTATTATGTATGAGAATTATATCTTAAGGTTTTCTTTATAATACATTATAAAATACGTTCGATCCTTTAACGAGTAGTTTGAATAACACTAAGAACACCATATATATCCCATCTGCCAGACCATACATAGACTAGAAGGTTCGTACTCATCGCTTCTGCCGTTGACTTGCTGATCAAAGTGGATCAGACGAACGATGATAAAGTTATTTAGCCGATAACTGATCCGAACCGACCCGTGTGATCTCTCTAATTGCTTCATCCTCGCTAGGTCAAGGTCGCTGCTCCATGGTTTAAAACATCAGATCATATAGCTTTCTCATACGGTTCTAAACATAAAAATGGCTCTGTGGGCGTGAGGGTTTGTCAGAGAGTCCATTAGTCTATTACAGGTCAACTTTCCTCCGCGAACTACCCTTACTCGTCCGCTGACCGAAGTTAAGTCACGCACCTGTGACGCCCGGGGTCGACATTATTGCCTGCCGTTTGGCCTGGCTCTACGACAGAGACCGTGACGCACGCAGACTCGGTTAGTCCAACATCGATTACTCCGCCACGTGTCTTCGTTGGGCAGACAAACGAACGGAACTTAATCTAATGTAAGTTGTGCACGAACAGCAGTGTCATCTGCGTTGCTTAATTCGACCTGGCTATTTCGTGATCGTACGTATTTTCACGCACAAAAATAACAATGATTAAATCGCAAGGAAAGACGATCAGATAGGGGCTTCGTTCCTTTACTGTCGTCCATTTTAACCTTGCCTACTACTTTCTCTCTTTACTCTAGGCTGTCTCTTTTTAGCGAACCTATTTGTTTGGAAATTATTTCTATGTATATGATTGATAAGCAGAAAAATATATTCCGCTAGAATGCCTGCAGCGAAGGTACAAGGCTTGCCTAGCCTTTTCTAATTTGCACCTGCCAAACTACTCATGTCTCTACCTTATGCCAGTTTAAGATACGTCTGGCCGTAAAATACGTAGCGCTATATCAGTGTGTACAAGGCAAACGCAGCAACAAAAAAAAACAAATGCTATTTTGTTATTGGTAGCCTCAAGTTACCATGAGTATGGTCCAAGCAGACCACAGAGGTTGGGGGTCTACAATCGGGAATTTGCCTGGAAAAATATTACCTTCTGTTTTAGCAAGCTCAACTATTATAATTCTAACCACATGATGTTGCATAATACTAATCGAATTAATGTACGAGCCGGGCCTCGTTCCGGCGGACCTTTTCAAGGCTCACTTATATTTCTCAGCATGGGTTTTTCTTCATGGAACGATTTAGGATGATCTCACGATTTCGGCTCAAGTCGAGCCAACATCTTCTAAACCTGGTTCTGTTCTCCGTGCGTCCGACGCGCAGAGATAGACCAGCTCTTTATGGTGCACGAATCTCAAAACGACATTTCTTCCCGCGAATTCTTTCGGGATCTTTGACATTTTTGGTAGCTGAATCTATACTTGTGTAAAAATCTCGTCTACCTACATGTCCCTTAGGCCTATGACGTTTGTTCGGCTGCCGCAATATGTGTGTGAATAGTAGCACGTCGTTGACGTATTGAACTACCTAGTCGAAACTCTTCGGCTACACTAACCTCCAGCGCCACAGGCATGTACCGCATCTTTGATTACTTTTTCGTAATAAAATATAATACTCAGATATATCATCATATAATACTCACGCTATGGTGTTTCTTTTACAATATGGCTGTAATAAATAAGTCTTAAAGGCAGCCATTCTCCTAATTTGTCGTAATAGAAACCTATGGGACACTTCTTTATGTGTAAACAATAAATCGATACGGCAGGTTTTGACGGTGTGTAGTTTTTCATCGTTTCAATTAGGGTTACGCGCACATTCGTATAATATAATTAATTTCTAACTATACTTAGCACCAACTCTGACTAATATTATTTGTATCTATTAGGAAATGAAGTGTATGTACATAGAGCGCTAAAACGGTATAAGCAAGGCGGCACATGCAGCGTCCTGAAGTACCTAGTTCTTCGACAGGAACCAAACTGTGGCGAAGCTCACCGATTAAGTTAAGGGTCGAGTTGGTCGAACTGAGTACAATAGAAAAGCAGAGCTCCTCGCGGACCTGCAGATTACGCAAGGTTCTACGCCGACGTCGATGCTCGTCTACCTTGTGGAATACATCTGTTGAATAGCCACGTCGGACTTCGCCGATATTGCGGATCGCGACTGTAGTTTGAAACAAATGTCGAAAAGGCGAACAGACACCAAAAAATTAAACAAGGAAATTAGCGCAACGTTAAATATAGATAAATAAAAACAGTAATAACACTAATTGTCATATAAGCCTATATATTACGATTCTATTCAATATTTATAAATGTCATGTTTGATAGATGATATCCCTCCTCGTGTATCAACACGAATGTTTTCCACAGCGTTCTTTGTCGTTGGGGTGTATTTGACATGGGACAAGGTTTGACATAAAGATTGCGCAAACATGTAGAAACCTGTGTCTAGAAATAGACATGCCGGATAACAGGAGATCAGAAACCCTTTCAACTACATTACGATTTTGGCTATTACCTAGTGTGGTCTTAAATGTGTGTGCGTGATGTTATACAACTCTATTGTCTATCTTACTAAGTAACGTGCAGTTCTACCAAAAATATTTATCACATAAATATTTCAATAGATCGATAAAGTATGGCTGGATTGATAGCTGTTTCGGGGTAATCCAGAACGCTGTAAGTCTATTTAATGAGTCTTTGCTAACTATAGATGGCGGCCTGCGGCCTATTGGCCTCTCTAGCTCAGGTGCGTATATTGAAACATTCAGTTCAGCACTCCCTAATCGATACAACAATATAAAACAATTAATAACACCATTTGCTTTGCCTGGGCCTTTTGGGGAAAAACAATCAAAGCACGAAACTTAGATCGAGCTCGTAGGCTAAAAGAACAAACGTAGATCTAAATCTAAGTAATTTGGGTTGTGTCTATTTTGGGCCGTAGGTTTAGCTGAACGGCAAAGGTTTCGCAGAATATCCTGGACATAACGCGCTAATAGCAAAGGACGATTTACGTCAAAATCTGTAAATTACCCCCAATCGTTTGCCGACAGATATAAGATGTCCTGTTACGTACCGTCTGCCGGTACTCTGTCTGGGCAAACAGATGTTTACGTGCATTGTAAACGTGTACCTTCTATTTTTACAACAGTCGCTCTAACAGCTCCGAATGAGTAAAAAAGAAATTTGAATGACAGGCGCCGCCCTCTAGGCAATGAAAAGATGCCGGCCATATAAATGCACCGTAAGCGCTATTCTTTTAAGGTCACCGAATCGCTTATCAGGCGCTTGTAAATCGACAAAATCAGATCTCTAATTAGTCGTGCTTACGTTTTTTATAAGAACTATAGACGAACGTATCTAAGACTGTCTATGATATGTCGAGCTGTTTTTTTCAACTAGTACATATGTAAGGCTTGAACACCGTATTTGGTACGATCCAAAACAAAGAAACTTACTATACGAGGCATAAATTCAGCTAACTCAGCTCAATTTGTGAAGCGGAAACATTATCGACCACCTTCTAAGGCTAGTTGCCACAGGCTTGTCATGGCAGTGAACGCAGAGGAAGTGAAAGATAGCCGATCAGGGCAAAAGTTCTCTTGAAAGTCTCTTTCTCTGTAAAAACAGATCAGTGACAAAAAGGCAATCTTCTTTAGCCAATTCTCAATAATAACAGCATTTTAATATAACATGCGCAAAATATGACCGCTGTTTTAGGTTTAATCATCAGCGTACAAGGGATGAAAGACATGAAAGTGTCCTTAGATTTGTTTTCCAATTGCTACACCCAGCCATTGGCGATTTTCGATCATGTATATATAAAGTTCATAGCGCCGTACGTCGATCAGCATCGGAAAGCATTATGCAAGTTACATAACAATTCCTTTCTGTCGAAGTTGGATCAGCTTGCTAACAGCAACCCATCATTTTAAAGGTAAAAGTTCGAAACAGAAGATCTTTGTTCAGGCAAGCGTATGCGAGAACTAATCGGGCTCCATGATTTAAGTGAGAGCTCTTAGTCGATACAAGATCCTCGTGTAAAAAAAGTATACATGGAAAGGAAGCTGGAGCTGGAGGACCACATAACACTTTACAATTATGCCAAATATCATTGTCCGGGGCCCGTTTATGATGCATCACATGTTGACGGCCTGTCGACTGTTTTTTTTCGAATTTTCCGCCATGTGGTCGATTCGTATTTACATGTCAGACAAATGTTCGTTCTATATATTATCGCATTGTACATCGCATGATAATCAGGAAAAAAGGAAATAGTAAGTACGACATCGGAGTACTGAAGTATTAAAGCTATGTATGTTAATAAATATTATACTTTGATCACTGCAATACTTCTAGTTATGATGAATGACCACCACTTTGGATTGGTCGTTCATCTTCCCCTAAATCAGCTTCGATTTATTTATTTTTGTGTAAAAACCTCTAACTTAACAAATCATCATACAATATCCTGGTTGAATGGAAAAGCTTCGTCATAACGTATTGGTTAAAATCAAGTTTTCTACGGCACAAAGCAAATGTGTTCATTGAGCCGAAGGCTTTCGTCAATCGGCGATGATTCTTGTACCTATCATCTGAATTGAGCCAGTCGGCTGGTACAAAATCTTTCTTTGAATAGACTAAACAGTATGTGCACAGCCGTACGGCGCATGCGCGGACTGTTTGAATTCGCGCGGATTGCTTATGCAGGCTAAATGCACAATGAGGCATCGATCATATCGATCGAATTTCCGCTTTGATAACCATACTGCCCTTAGCTCACTTCGAGATGATGCGGGGCAAAAACGCGATGGTATCTACGGATGTCTTCCACGTAATTGAAAACGATGCTTACACTTGAAAGAATCGCTGCTATGCCAAGGTCCCTAGTCAGAGTAAAGACATATTTAGAAAGCTACACATCAAACGACGTGTGAAAATTTACTTTTATATACATACGATAGCAATTTTTGCGAAAAAAAAAAAACAATTCACTGGAAAAACTTGTCAGAAATGGCGGCAGTTTACTCACATGTGAAACTACTTCTTCGTAAAAAGATGACTTTATAGTTGTATTGAATAGGCTTTCGAGATAACGCGTCGGCCGTATGAGCGTGTGTTGAAAAAACAGGCGAACTATCGCTTTTAAAAAGTCATGGATACGCTAAATATTTTAATCGGTTTTAATCAGACAGAAACATTTAGCGTTAGGTTTGTATTCTGTTGCAAGATAACAGTACCACATAGGTAAAAGTTTGATCCAATTTTAAAAGATGAAAATGACTGTTTCAAGCGTCCCGTTGACATGTCTAAAATACAAATGAATTCGTTCAGATTTACTATTGTCCTCTACGTTGGCTCCCACTTGTCCATCTGTCAGCCATTAATAAATACGCTGCTAGCTTTATCTATTTTCTTAGGTACCAAATTTAGCCGCTTCTAGGACCTACTGGCATAGGCAATATGCACCAGGGCTTTATACATATGGCAGGCGCTTGTGTGACCAATTAACTAGGTTAAGAAATCAGGCTTGTGTCTGGCAATAATACAAAGATCGTGCGACTCGTCCGGGGTTAACAGCTGTTTGCTTCTTGATGGCCCTCGACTAATGCTTATCAATGCTCACGCGGTTCAAACGTATAACCGTTCCAAATAGTAACACTGATTCTGATCGCGTGTACTTGCCAAGGGGTATTCACCATACAGTAAACAATACATTGAATCATTTTGGCAACATATACGGGAGAAAGTATTGCCGACTGATTCATTATTGTGAAAATTTCTGGCTTTTTTTAACGCTTATCAACAACTTTGTCACGTTTACCGGTTCAGCGAAAGCCAAGCGACAATCAAACGCCTGTGCTAGGTACGTATTTACTTGAAGTTCAATTGCAACATCAAGTATATGGTAGCATATAATTGACTCAACGATGAGTCTATGGGAGTAAATGTATTAAGTGTCGAAGAATTACGCTGTCTATGTATTATAGTCGGAGATGAAATTATAAGATTGTTTTGAAATAAAATATTTCAATATGCCACAGATAAATTTGGTTTCCTAAAGCGTTTTATGAAAATGTCGTCGATAGCAGCTTCGGTGACAGCATGCTCTTCTATTGTATACGTTTTGCCGGTTATCTCAACGGAAACGTGCAAACGTCATCTTCATACCACAGCAACTTTAGACAGAAAAAAGTAGCTTTTCAAACTCCAGCGCATCGTCTGGGTCCAGGCAGATGCGCGAAAGCAGACGTCATGCCCTCTTGCGAGTGTTAACATTAACTTTTGCATAGTATACGTCAAGGATGACATGCTAGATTTCAGTGTGTATTTTTATCACTGATAGGATATAAGGTTAGCGTGGAGCCTAAGAGGTACGTTCTTACCTCAGAAGTGCTTCATTCAGTGCTGTAAGGCTTTATCAATGAATAGTAAATCATTGTTTCAAGTAAGATTAAATTATAAACTACAATGAAGCATTAGTCTTACAACACTAAGAGTACACACAGACACGCTATACTCTGATGCATAGGAATTTTTTTGCTAATCTTATTTATTCCCCCAACGTTTGGTGGCAAGGAAGAATGATTCATTGGAAAATTGTAGTCATTATTTTGTAAAGAGCCTCTAATATAATCAAGATGGAACAGGCACTTTTCGAAATTGTCCTGAGTCCCGGATGTCCGATTCGAATAGTTAGCATGGTCGTTTGTGCCGTCACTGTTTATATGTAATAGTCCATACCTAACTTAGGTAAGAGCGTATTTTGTATATACGCAAACGATACTGCCGGTCGCATCGCTGTTTTGTCCAGGTCGAATTGATACCTTTATCGTGTACGGACAGAACGACCCAACGTATACTACTCAATCAGCTACAATCATCTGTATAACATCATTGATACTAATTTCGAGTAAGTAGAATGCTGTCAAAAGACCTTTCTCCGGTGGAACTTGATGCACGGGGTCAGATTCTTAAGGGCAAGTTACACAAAGCCCAGATTGCATGTTCAAGCAGTAACTCAAACTAGTGCAACACTACAATAGCATGCGTACGATATCGTTCTCGAAGTTCTAGTTTCCACAAAATATTAATTAAGCACAAAATATGTGCTTATCTATTTGGATCTAAGGATATGCTAATGAATTACTATGGTAG